CAAAGTACAGTCGAATCAACCCGATGGCTCTTATGCAACCAAGGATCTCTTCCAGCCTCATCCTACTATTTCCCGCGCTTGGAAGTATATCGCCCGACTTGATGACACTCTAGTACTGGTGAATGGCGAAAAGTTTGGTCCTGTGGCGATGGAGGGCCAAATTCGCTCTAATCGAGACGTCACTGAGGTAGTCGTCTTTGGAGCTGGCCGGCCATGTCTTGGCGCGTTGATTGTTCCAGCTCCCTCTCTCTGTGGAAAGTCACAGGAGGAAATTCTCGACGTAATTTGGCCTGTAGTGAAGTCAGCCAACCAATCTGTCGACTCATTTGCTCATATCTCCAAGGGTATGATCAAACTGTTGCCGACGGACTGCGCGTACCCCCGCACGGATAAGGGCAGCATCATCCGCCAGGCCTTTTATAAGGCGTTTCAGAAGGAGATAGAGGAAGCTTACGACGAGAAAGACGCAGAGACCGCTAATCGTCAAAAGCTCAGCCTTGATGAGATGCGAACATTTGTTCGAAAACTGTTGAGTGATAGCCTCCCAGCTGCCGGTCAAGTTGAGGATAGTACCGACTTCTTTCTTCTCGGTCTTGATTCCCTACAGGCCATTCAAATGCGAAGCAGCATTCTCAGAAATGTTGATCTCGGAGAGGGTCGTAAACTTGGTCAAAACATCGTGTTTGACTACCCTTCAATTGAGAAGTTGAGTTCGTTTCTCTACAGCCTTAGTATTGGGCAAGCCGCGGATCAAAAGTCTTCTGTTGAGTCAGAAATGCAAGATCTTATCAACAAATACAAGACTTTAGGGGCCACCCAAGCTTCTACAGTAGTACGTTTACACCCATTAAGGAAAAGCTGCTCATTTCCCCCTGCATTGTCGAGCTTGATATTAATTAGATCGTAGGTTCTCACAGGGGCAACCGGCTCGCTGGGAGCTCATGTAGCGGCTAAGCTTGCTCCTAATCCCAAGATCGGGAAGATTGTGTGTCTCGCTCGTGCCTCAAATTCATCTTCAGCTCAAAACCGAATTGTAGAGTCATTGATTCAACGACGCTTGCTTCACACCTTGTCACAAGAAGAAAGGCGCAAGATTGTGGCCTTTTCCTCAGATCTGACTGACAGCAGGCTTGGATTGTCAGAGGAGGTTTACACCTCCATATCGCGGGACCTGATCGCCGTCATTCACTGCGCCTGGTCAGTCAACTTCAACATGCAGCTTTCGAGTTTTGAGAAGAGCAATATCGTCGGAGTACGCCATCTTCTTGATTTGTGCCGCGCCTCCCCCGCAAAGCCGTCTATGAACTTTTGCTCATCTATCAGCACATGCGTTGGATCGACTGTAATTCCAGTACCAGAGGCTGTCCCGGATCTGGGGTGGGCACAAGGCATGGGGTATGCTCAATCCAAATCTGTTGCTGAGCATATCTGTGCCAATGCTGCTGAGCAAGGTGTGAAAATCAGGGTACTGCGGGTCGGGCAGCTTGTTGGTGACACACAGCATGGTGTTTGGAATGCACAGGAAGCTGTGCCTATGATGCTTCAAACGGCCCTAACTATTGGCTCTTTACCCAAACTCAAGGAAACCCCTTCGTGGTTGCCAGTTGACACTGCGGCTGAGTCCATTACTGACATATCCCTGTCTGACGCTGGGAGCCTCTTCGCCAACGTGACGCACCCAAAGACTTTTGACTTCGTCAAAGACTTGCTGCCCGCCTTGGAAGAAGTCGGCCTCGAGTTTGAGCAAGTCGAGCCAAAGGAGTGGGTTCGACGCCTCCGTGCATCAAACCCTGACCCAAGTCTGAACCCCCCTATCAAGCTTGTCGATTTCTTTGCCTCCAAGTATGACAAAGATGAGTTCGCGCCATCTAAACCGTTCTCTACTGGTGTTGCACAATCTCTATCCCCCTCTCTGGCAAACTCACCTGTTCTTGATCAGGGATTTGTGAAGAAATTCACGGAATACTTTCTCCAGAACGCATGGACCGCCCCCGTTGATAGCAGGACCCAGACCAAGTTTGCAGTTTTTGTATCTGGGATTGATGAAGCCACAAGTACAGCTATAGGAAAAAAGGTTTCAAATTGGCTCTCCGTCCCCTTAGTTGAGGGCGAGTCGCTACACACTCGGCCTGCCATTGAAAAGTTGCGCCAGGGTGTTGCTCTATCACTTGGGGACACTACCGGTTGGCTCTCTCGCCTCTCATCTCGTATCACAGAAGGCCTTCTGGAGCTTTCCCATCCCTCGGTTGTGCTTACCAGCTCTACTATGATCCAGTCGTGGCGCTTCCAGCTACGAGATTCGCTTGCACGACAGAACATCAAGACCGTCTTCATCGATATGCAGGCTATTTCTGATTCGGTCAAACGAGTATCAAGTATAGGCGAGCGTGAACGGCCTGCCGGTGGGGAGATAGATGTCCTCCCTATAGATTTGAATGGTGATGAAACCAAGGTATTTGAGAGTGTCAAGTGGATGCTGCAGGTCAAGGGATTGAATCCAAGCGAGTGAATTCAGACAAAATCAAGCAAAAAAACGAGCCTTTTACATGCTACAGATCTTCTGAATTTACAAAAATCAACGCATTGAATGAGACATGCGACATAGTTGCCTTGTATGGCGTATATGCGACTTAAGCCCACCCTGGAGCTCTCATGATGGCGTTGGGGGATGTCATCTTTAAATGGAAGCGATTGGCGCGACATGGATGATCGGGAGTTTTGTACTAGGCACTGAAATTTACACTGAAATTTTTATTCTTTTATGAATTTCTCGTTGATGCCCGAAGAATGACCCTTTGTGATGTTTGTTGGGTGTGAGCGATCTTCCAACGCTGCCCCTCACTCAATGCTTAATAACCCGGACTCTAAATCTACCCAACCAACCATCATTGGGTTCATTTTCATATTGTATCACATTCCCATCAGATTGCTCACCTTCTTGTTTCACCAAAGATAGCAGACTAAAGCAATCCGATACCCTTTTGGTGTGTGTTTCTGCCTAAGCAATTCCTTGCTGATCTTGAGCTGAGGTATTTGAGCCTTCTGGCCTAATATTGCTCTGCCTGGATGAGTGACCCGAATGGAACTACAACGCTGACCATATTTTGACAAAAGACTTACTGGAAAAGCTGAAATCTCATTTCCATCATGTCGCATAAGACCCAGGAACCCGTCATCACCAAGATCTCCGACCTCCCACTCGAGGAGGCCAGGTGGGTGACCCTCAAGAAGATCGACTACGTGGATCAGGTTGGCAAGGCGCGATCATGGGAAGTCGCGCAGCGGAAAACGAGGGGTAAATCTGGCGTGGACGCCGTGGCCATGGGCAACATCCTCCTGCACCCGTCCAAGCCCGCATCCACCCTGCTCGTCATCCAGTACCGCCCACCCCTGGACTCCTACACGGTCGAGTGGCCGGCGGGCCTCATCGACGCGGAGGAGACGGCCGAGCAGGCAGCCGTCCGCGAGTTCAAGGAGGAGACTGGGTACGACTGTGTGGTCAAGAGTGTCAGCCCGGCCCAGTCGGCCGACCCGGGCATGACGAACGCGAACATGCAGCTCGTCATGGTCGAGGTGCAGCTGGGCGAGCAGGACGAGGAGCCCGAGCAGCGGCTGGAGGATGGCGAGCACATCCAGAGGGTGATTGTTCCGATAGCGGAGCTGTACGATCGGCTTGTTGAGTACTCCAAGCAGGAGCGGATGGTGGTTGCGGCTAAGCTGTTCCATTTTGCGGCTGGGATGGAGTTTGCCAGGACCCAGACTTACTTTAAATGAATTTCCGAGATGCGAGTTGCAGGAGAGGGTGCAGAGATAAACTACAACGTATACCTGTAGCTCAATCGATCCATTGCCAAGCTATCCCAAGTGTTTGCTGAGCTGAGCTCACTCTAGACTTGTAGATTCGGGTTGTTGTTTCAAGCACCTCCAATGGCATAGTCTGCTGATCATTTACCACCTCTAGTGTGTGAACGACCTGAAATAATAGGTAGTACAAAGGCAGCAAGAGCGTCGCTTTTCGTCCGACACTTCAGCCCATATGTATGTACGCTGTAGAACGAGTTACCTATGACTAACGGCATGTCGGTTCGCTTCCTGACTTGCTTACTATCTTGGTGATATAATGCATGAATATCCTACTCCACGGAATATGTAATTTGGTTCGGGAGTAACAATGCAAGGATCATATGCATCTTGAACTCTATTTCAGCCAAGGTATGGCAGGGAATGACGACGTTCCCGTCACGGCCTGCCCTACACCGTCCGCCCGTGCATCCACGTCGGAATTATTGTTTCATTGCGGCTAGATACCTCCTAGCTCTATCAACTTGAAAGACAGCTTCTATTGGATACATATCTTGGGATTGATGAGTGCTGAGGGCATCCTCAAGATCCAAAAGCATGCCTACCTACTCAGTATTTGGTGCATGCCTGCGAGTGCTCAGTGTATCTGCTTGTTTATTTGCCTGAGAAACCGGGCTTCCATTTCCTGCTGCCCATCACACCTGCCTGGCGGAAACGTCAAGCACTGATCCGGGCCAGCCAAGACAAGAGGGAAGGTACCTACGAGCACTGTGAACAGACCGCACGGAAAGACATTAAAGTGCCTGCAGGCAAGTGACAGCGCACAAAGCTCGTCACAAGCACCTCAGCTACTCTTCAAAACCAAAGCCTCATTCTTTCCGTCACTCCTCCAACCTGCCTTCCAGCAACAACAAACTCTTTTCTGCTTCGCCCCCGGGAATTCACCACACTGGCTGGCTGGTTTTTCTTTCCTGTTAGATCTCCTCGCACTTCATTTACTCTCAATTCGTGCCCATCCAGAGGTCGACCACCACCTTGCCTGGTGATTCACGCCCTGCTGTTTTCACATCTGCCTGCTCTACGGCCGTTCTTTCTATGTTCCATCCAGGTACAGCGAAATAACAGCCTTGCCACTCGGAAGCCCCCTTCCCTTAGGTTATTTCTGGAGAGAACTATTCTCTAAGTTGACAGACATAACCATGGCTGAAAATAAGCAGTTCCTTGCGGCCGCCTATATGGGCCTTATGGTAAGGATTTATCACTTTCTCTCCTTCCCATTTCACATAAAAACGAAACCTAGGAGATTTCTCCATCGCCAGTCGAACCCATCGGCGAGGCTAGAGAAGATTAGTGACAAGACTGATGGCCATTAACGGTCTTCGGTTTGTGCAAAATGTCTCGAAAGCCGACGGTCAGCTAATACATTCATAGGCAGATCTGGGGCGCCATCGCCAGGAGGAGCTTCCGCTCAGCAACGAGCAGCGTAAATTCCCAAGTTATGATCCCCTCCAGTCGCGCACGCACTACAAGAAGGTCTCCGTAAAAAAAGCAAAGGAAACATCGACTGCCTGGTCAAGTAAGCACATACCATCGCATACGAGCTGATCAGGATTCGAGACTCATTCTCGCAGATTGCATAATAAAGGATGAAGAAACAGAACAGATGGAGGGTCTGGAACTGTCGGAATGTCCATGGCGGCCTAACAACCCACCACCTGGCATATCGGCGCGCCACCATGGCCTTGCCCCGTGAGTACTTTCACCATTGAGCACTGTTTTGGGAAAGATTCGCTTTCGTAGGAGGGGTATCAAGCAGTGCTGACTGATTTTCACCAGCGATAAACCTCGCAAAGTCAGCGCACCCAAACGTCCGTTGCAAGATAACACTATTTCCTTTGCACCTGTCAACAAGGAGGTGCAGAAGAAGCCGGAGCCAGAGAAAGAGTCACAGCCCGTGGAAAAGGCCAGCGCTAAACGGGATGATTCGATCAATCGCGATCAAAATTCCGCAGCTAGCAACGACAACCTTTCGGGGCAGGATTGTCTCACGAAGTGTGTTTTTCAAAATGGCAAAGGCTTCAATGGAGAGGATATTCCCGTTGCCTACTTCGGGACTTTCATGAATTATCCTGGTAGCGGTGGCCCGGAGGACCCTTTTACGGTCGATTTTGAGATCAAGGTCAAAGTTTCTCCCCCGAGTGCCTGGCTCCATCTTCATGCCAGGGGGGGTAGGAGAGAGCATGATATTTCTCTACTCGATACTCCACAGATGGTGAACCAATTCTGTATTCTAACAACTAAAGGTGGCCCAAATGCCAAGTACTTTCTTGAGTTCGCGAACTTGACGGCGACGAAGCTCTTTTCCGACTGTGTACACAACACTCAGAAGTGGCTGACGCACACTCGAGAAAATGCTATCCCCGAAGCAGGATCAACAACACCACCGGCTGTAGAGACAGAAGTTTCTCCCACTGCAAAACCTGACACAGGCGAAGCACTCTCGGCTGGAAAACCAAAGGTTCTCCCAACCGCAAAACCAGAGGTTCCCCCTACTGCAAAGCCCGACACGGACGAAGTTGAAGCCGAGAACAACCATCAAGATCACGAGTCCAAGGAAAACCATCCAGAGCAGTTCATCAACAAGGCAGAGAACCAGTCTGAAGTTCTACCCAAGGCCGATCAAGAAACAGAACAGAATCCAAATGGGGTAGCCGAGCAGAAGGAAGCTTTGCATACTAGCGAGGAGACAGCGTGCCTTATCAGCATCGCAGAATCTCTTGCCCCGAACACTTCGGAGAAGAAAGTTTCAAATTCCGCCGCTCGCAAGGGCACCGAGAAGGCATTTGATGGGTTGTGGGAGGCAGCCGGGGCTCTGTTTTCCACAATGGTTTCAGCAGGGGAAGGCCAGCGGAAGCAGGTTCATGAGGAGATAGAGGAGGCACTGGAGGAGAAATGGCGGGAAAACAAGATACCAGAGACTTACAGCAAGGTCAAGGATGCCTTTCTCACAAACCTCCAGTCATTCATCGATATGAGATTCGATCTCATCAAACAAGTCATCCAAATGACCAATCATTCGACAAGTCAAAATGTTCCAGAATCGATGAAAGAGTTTCTCAAGCCGATTTGCTATAGGCCCGAGGACCTCGAGCACCTCAGACCAAATGCTACGGACTGTCCCGAGGGCATCAAGAAGGCCAAGTTTCTACCAGAGAAAAGGGTTGCAAAGGCACTTCCATCGCCAAGAAGTAAAGGCTACTTTGCCAATCGTGAAGCTCCTGATCCGTCCACAGTTAGCAAGCTCTGGTCGACAGCGCCCCTTTTGACAGAGAATCAAGTGTTGATACAGGGTGCTGCTGCAACTGCGGCGAATCATGGGTCTGCCGGAGAGCTTGCCTCCCAAATGTCAGATGCGCCGCCTGCTTCCTCTCACGTGGTTAGCACCCCCCAGGCCACAAGGACTAGGCCGCCACCCCGTGGCCTTGGCTCTTCGATGTTTGCCAATATATAGGTATCGATGAGAACGATGCTTTCCCCTGGTGATTTCTTCTAAAGGGAAGGTTCTTACTGGCATATGCCACAGTTACCAGGCCTGTGTTTGATCTTGCGTTCTATCAAAAAAGTCAGAGTTCGATGAAGGGGAATTTTTGCAGAAGTGAGCACGAATAAAGATTGAATGTGATGATGGCCTGAATTGGTTTCTAGAGTAGATTGGTTCTGATTTTGATAGGGTAATAATAGGATTGGTTTTTCGGAAATCGCAGTGAATGAGATGTAATGCCTTAAACTTCCCCTTTGTAAACAAAGTTTCCTAGCCTACAGCTACTACGTTTCCCTATTTCGGGATTTGGCTTTTCAAGAAGCCAAACTTCACTGGCGGCGACGAGTGATGTGGACTTTAATCTCTAATCTCAGGTGATTAAATCGAGCTTTTTGTGGCAAAACGTTTTGTACAAGAGCAACTGGTTTTTTATACTTTCATCAAGAGTTGCGGAATCCTCTCCACCCAAGACCTTTTCGACGAGTTTGATGCCTTCCTCATAGCGGCGAAAGAAATAATGCTCCTCAACAGCATGGATGAGTTGCTGAACCAGCATTTTGTTAGGATTAGGGCCTAAGGGAATTGAGATGCCTTCGGAGATCTACACAGAAGAGTCAATGAAAGGACGGATACGATCTAACTCAAGAAGAGGAGGAGAATAGAAAGACAGGGTATACAGGGTAGAATGAGCGTACATTGCCGTTTTCGATTCGGACATGATATGTCCTTTTGACATCCTGAAACTCTTCCTCTGACTGACCAGTGCGGTTGGAGGGCTTGGCAGGCGTCTGCTGCTCCTCCGTCTCCGAGTCTGAGAGTGAGATGTTGAGAATGCCACCTGATTCGTCATCCATTTTTATTGAATTATTATTGTCTTCGATTCCCTCATTCTCTCAGCTGTCACTACAGCGCGGACGGGAGTTGGAAGTATGAGACTCGATTTTTACGGTGGCCATTATTACTGAGGACCTTAGCTTAGTGTTAGTGCCTGTTTTCCAATGAATCGACCCTTTGCGCAGCCACTTTAGCATGTTTTTAGTCAGCTATGGAGTTAATGCAGCACCATCGAATCTACATTCGTAAAAGGGGCCACCATCAATCGCAACGGACCGCATTACAGGGTCTTTTTGTAAGTCTTTAAATAGACGATTAACGAACCAACCGTAATGTAAGCTTGATGGTTTTGAGGTGACTAGCGAGGAGCGGCTGGAGAGCAGTTGCCAGGGGCATGTAGCAAGGTGACGTCCAAGAGGGCGCAGCAGCTGTCGCTGGGCTGGAGTGGTGCACTTTTGGCGCCTCAACCCCACTGTGAGACCTAACTGGGGGTGATCAGATGCAGCGGGTGTCAAGATTAGTGGTTGGCACGTAGCAGGTACTTGGGCACAGCCCCAATCCCCAGCTGGTCTGGCCATAGTATCGTCTCTCGAGGTCCAAGCGATTGTTTGGGGATTACTGGTCGTGCTAAAATCCCTTCTTGCTTATGTATTCCAGGTGGCCTCATTGTTCCGGACTCTGGAATTTCCAACCTCCTTACGCCTCTTCGACACCAAGATGGCGGAAGAGGGCGGCCCCGCGAGCCTCCAGCCAAAGCTGACGGTGAGGAGGAAGCCTGTACCAGGGCGCAGCTTGGAGGAAGGAACCTCGCAGGAGCAACAGCAGCAGCAGCCACAGCAGGAGGATCAGCGCCAGCCAGAACAGCAACCACAACCACCAAGTCCGCAAGAGGAACCCCGGCAAAATCCACAAGCAGCCGCCGAGACGCAGGCCGCATTATTGTCGCCGGGACCATCTTCTAGGCCAGACGACAATGCTGCGAACAGGCAAAGAGCACACACAGTGGCAGCAGCACTGCCGACGCTGTCCACGAGAACCTCGGATTCGATTGCGGACGCAACCCCCGGCAGGGCCAGCGAAGATATATATAGCCTTCCACCACCCTACAGGGATGCTCCTCCGGCGTATGATGAGGTCGACAGAACGCGGCCGCTGGATTTCGAAGGCGAGATCCAGACCACAGACGACATACCCTCCAGCGAAACCCTGAAGAGCATCGAGAATTATATCGTGCTGGATCGGCATGGCAGGACGCACCCCTTCAGGTCACTGTACACGGGGCCAAATGTAGCTCGCCGGGTGCTTGTTATATTCATTCGCCATTTCTTCTGTGGTGTAAGTTAAAGTTTCGTCAATTTGATTCAGGTCGCATTGGATTGCATTGGGCAATGGTGTATACTTCTCGGAGCAAAAAAAAAAACACTAACCGCTGACTCGGCGAATATTAGAATTGTCAAGAATATATGCGGTCACTTTCCGAATTGGTTACGCCCACCTCTTTGTTACAGCTCCCAGTCAGCACGTTCATTGTTGTTATCGGGTGCGGCGACCCTGGTTTGATTGAGATGTACGCCAAGGAGACCAATTGCCAGTTCCCAATCTACACGGACCCCAAGCGCTTGCTCTTCGATGCCCTGGGGATGAGGCTGACGCTTGCAATGGGGACGAAGCCCGCTTACATGAAGAGGCCCATGTCTACTTCTGTATTCAACAGCATCGGTCAAGCCTTGCGTGCTCTTCCTTCGGGCATGACGCTCAAATCTGGCAACCAGCGGCAGGTGGGAGGAGAGTTCCTGTTCGAGCCCAAAGAGCTGTTGACACCCATCAGTACACCCACCGAGGAGCAACCAGATCCATTTAAAGCCAAGGGACTTCGAGAATTGGCACATAACAACCCACAGCATGACCAGCAACAAGAAGGGAATGTTGAGGAGAAAACTGTCACTTGGTGCCATCGGATGAGAACGACTCGTGATCATTGCGAAGTCCCCGAGCTGATGGACATCTTGGGGCTGGAACCCCCACACCAAGAGAGTGATGGAAAACAACAGTGGGCAGCTGCCTTGGAGAACAGGAAGGGTGTTGGAACGAGCATGGCTCAGAGGATGAATGAGATGAACAGAAGAGAGGAAGAACCTGCGGTAGAGGATGGGCCGAGGAATTCGACCGAATAGCCTAAGACACCACCAGCATAGGCATGACGAAATGCCCGATACGACGCCCCTTCGAACCTTGTCACCTTTGCTGCACACATTTTGGCATCACAATCCCAGCCCTTCTCCTGGCACAGCTATTATGGATGCTGAAGAATCATTTCATTTCAACGCCCTCGCTATGCTCGACCGCCTTGCTATGCTCGACCGCCTTGCTACTCATGAACCCAGGAACCGTCATCCCTACTTTGAACAATCTCGGAGACTGGCAGTTTCTTTTCCACAATCTCCTTTCCGTTGACTAAATCATTTTCGAGGGCTCTCCTATCTCCTTCCTCTAAATCCTTGACAATTCCGGCTCGCACATGTCGTTCACGCAATCTTTTCCGAGCCACCTCGAAGTCGACATTGACAAACCAGATATCGTCCAAGAGCCTTCCTGCATCTCTCCATACCGGCTCATCTAATGCAACGTAAAGTCCTTCTACTACCACGATGCGGGTGACTTCTTGAATGATGATGTCGCCTTCCCGCGGATCCTTGAGGGCGTGATCAAAAGTTGGCGCTAGGACAGGCGCCCCAATGCTGTCCCTTAGGCTCGTAACGAGATCCAAATACTTGTCGGCATTGAATGTATAGGCTGCACCGCGTCGAGCATGAGCGGTGTCTGGATCTGGCATGGCCGACAATTCTTTGCGAGTTTTATGGAATCCGTCCATGGACAGGGCGATGGATACTTGGCCATTGGCCCCGGCCTCCCTGGCCCGGTCTTGCAAACGGCTGCTGACTATGGCGGCGAGTGTCGTTTTACCTGCTCGCGGTGAAAAAATTAAAATATATGTCACTATATAGACCCTTTTACTGATGATTGGATCTTTACCTACCTGAGCCAGGGATGCCAGCAACCCCTATTACTTTAGCACATGTTAGCGAGCGATGCATAATTGAATAAAGGAAAAGATATTTGAGAGCGCAATCGTTGTCCCCAATGGTCAATTGAAGGGGTGGTCGACCTGAGTGAAATGTGTTGGCGGTCTACTCACACAGGCGTTTATCTGAAGGTGTCTGCTCGTACATCTTCCAGGCCTTCTCAACAAGCCTATCCACTTGTGCCTCCATCCTTGCTATGAGGCAGACACCCGCCCTAGCCTCTGGCCTCGTGTGAGAGAGTAGAGGGTTTGTAAATGGCGATAGGGGTTGAGCGGAAGGGAAGGAAGAGTACGAGGGCTCCAGATGCAATGGGCAGCAAGCAGGGCAGGAATGATTCCTTTGAGAACGTGGACATGTGCTTGACAAAGCAGCCCGTAAATGAAGGCGGTGCTCGAGTCGCTACCACATTATTACTCACGCTCTCCTCTCCACCCCTCTATCTCTCTATCCACTTACATCAACACACAGCTCTCCGGGCTACTTAAGCGTGACAGGGAATCGCTCGCGTCACGAGGTACACGGGCGGATAAGGAAATGGTCGGCGAAGCGGAAAACTACAAACAGGATGCACCCCGAAAGCCGGCATCTGGTGAAATATCATCAATGTTCTGTTCACTCCAGCAGCACGAGCCCGTCCTCGACCCCCCAAGCAATGATCGCGGGGTAATAATCAGAGGTATCGCCTAGCCCAAGGAATCGGACGTGTGCCACTGGTCTGTGCGCTGTGCCGGGTGTCAAACGGATTTTTGGCGGGGTCATCCTGGTCCAGTGGCTACTACCAACCTGGGCGAATGCAGCCCACACATGTTGGATGGGCAAGAATATTCTTCTGCGCCGCGGCTCTGAAACCAGTCTTCTACACCAAAATACTCGCATCCCACTAGAAGAGCAACATGGCAGCCCAGGCTCCCACCGAGGCTCTGAAGGAGCTCAAAGGTGAGGTCTACAGGCCACCCAGGTCCCATTCCAGCCCGGAGAGGTCAATTTACTGATGTGCGATGATGTCGTTTCGTGGGTTTTAGTGGATGACACATCCGCCAAGGTGAACGGCAAGGCTGGCGACGCCCCGGCCGCCGCCAACGACGACGAGCACGCAGACGATTCCGAGGAGGAGGACGGCGCTGCGGCGGGTACCACGGGCGCCGCCAAGAAGAAGAAGAAGAGAAAGCCCAAGAAGAAGAAGAAGGCCACGCCCACGAGCCAGACCTACCCCCCCACCGTCAAGGTCAGCCTCCTGTTCCCCAACAAGGACTACCCGCCCGGCGAGGAGGTCGAGTACAGGGACGAGAACAGCTACCGGACCACCAGCGAGGAGAAGCGCCACCTGGACAACCTGAACAGCGACTTCCTGACCGACTACCGCGAGGCCGCAGAGATCCACCGCCAGGTCCGACAGTATGCGAAGAAGTCGATCAAGCCCGGGCAGACTCTGACCGAGATTGCCGAGGGCATTGAGAACAGTGTCAGGGCGCTCACGGGTCACGACGGCTTGACTGAGGGTGATGCGCTCATTGGTGGTATGGGATTCCCCTGCGGCCTGAGTCTGAACCACTGCGCCGCCCATTACACCCCCAACGCCGGAAATAAGATGGTCCTGAGCCAGGAGGATGTGATGAAGGTGGACTTTGGCGTGCACGTCAATGGAAAGATTGTCGACTCGGCTTTCACCGTGGCGTTTGACAACAAGTACGATAACCTACTCAAGGCCGTCCAGGAGGCGACCAACGCCGGTATCCGCGAAGCGGGCATTGACGCCCGCGTGGGAGAGATTGGCGGCGTCATCCAGGAGACGATGGAGAGTTTCGAGGTCGAGATTGACGGCCAGACCTACCCCGTCAAGAGCATCCGCAACCTGACCGGCCACAACATCCTGCCCTACAGCATCCACGGCACCAAGGCCGTGCCGATCGTGAAGAGCAACGACAGCACCAAGATGGAGGAGGGCGACGTGTTCGCCATCGAGACCTTTGGCAGCACGGGCAACGGCTACGTCCGGGACGACATGGAGACGTCGCACTACGCCAAGAACAAGGACGTCGGCCACGTGGACCTGCGCCTGAGCTCGGCCAAGTCGCTGCTCAGCGTGATTAATAAGAACTTTGGGACGCTGCCGTTCTGTAGGCGATACCTGGATCGCATTGGCCAGGACAAGTACCTGCTCGGGGTGAGTTTTCTTCTCAATGTTCAGGCTGGCAGTCCTCCTCGGCAGTGCTAACACTAAATAGCTTAACAACTTGGTCAACGCCGGCGTCGTCGACGCCTACCCGCCCTTGTGTGACAAGAAGGGCTCGTACACTGCTCAGTTCGAGCATGTGAGTGGTTCACAACCCAATACAACTACACCTCTCCTGATGCTAACATGCATTCCTAGACTATTCTTATTCGACCCAATGTGAAGGAGGTCATCTCTCGTGGAGACGACTATTAAGGAAGAGGAAGAGGAAGAGGAAGAGGAGGATGATGGTGGGATGAATTCTGAGATACGGCTTCCCCCAGATTTGAAAACGGTGACCAGCGTAAATAGTCTCGATGATGCACTCCTCAACTTATAAACCGTCAACTGGTACATAGTAGCTGCCACGAAATTGACCCGGCAGTTGTATGACTCGAGGAGCACAATGAACAAAGGCAGGGAAAGGGGGGCAAGACCCAAACTAAAATAGAAGCAAAAACGCCACAATTAGTTCCCCAAAGTCTGTGGAAGTGTGAATTGACTCGCATGCACGGTAAGATTAGGGGTCCTTGGGGCACCCGTCACCTCGATTCGGCATATGGATCTTAGTAGGCGACTTGCTCGTTCCGATCTTGATGGATTGTGATCTACTAATCGAGGGATAGTAAAAATAGCACAGTTGGTCTGACTATATTATCAATATAGACACACTGTGTAATACCGAATTGTTTGATGATCTGGAAGGAATTAGTAATGTGTGATATCTGAATCAGAGAGGTACTTGATTATTCAATTGCCGTAAGGTATAGACACAATAGGCAAAAGCTATAGTAAGCTAGGAGCGATGGCAGCTCTCGAGAGCATACCACGGCTTCGGAATCAGAGTGGCAAACGAAAAGAAAAATTCCAAGTGGCTGAGTCGACATGTATACAGTAACATTGACGATGAGTGAAGTCATGGGACGGTGCAAAGCCTCTGCAGGTCAATCTAGATGATCTCTGATTTGATGAGACGAACGTGCGAGCACGATCGACTGTCGCCACCCGTTCCCACCCGCTGGTCCATTGAGATTCTGGAGCCGGCGAATGTGCTCCACACGAGTCTTCCCTTCTGCCAGAGACGAAGCCGGGGGCTTTACCGCTTGTTACGAACGGCCTAGCCAATGAGGAGCACCATTTGCTCAGCTGCTTCCGAGGCTTTCTCGCGGCCATCTTGGCGCCTTACCGCAAACAGACTGGTACAGCACTGTGCTGTGGCGCCCCTTCCAAGGACCGGAAGCCAAACAAGTGACTCCGGGGTTGTGGAAGTGCCAATCCCCCCTCTAGGGAGGCTGCTATCGACGCGCTAGACCCAACACGGCGTCCTATCACATGTCGGATAAAAATTAGTACATCCTTAGTGAGATCGCGTTGGCTCCCGGGGAAGGAGCGCTCAAGGGTGTGAGGCAGTGAACCGAAGAAAAAAAAAAGACCGCAAAGTTTTTTTTCTTAATTGTCCCACCCCGTTCTCGGCGCTTCCCTCCCCTTATCTCCAGACCTATTCCTTCACCCACGCGGGCACACGCATCAATTCTTTATAGACCCCGGCGAGGACAGAAAAGAATACATCCGTGTCCAGGATTTGCGGATACATTTTTCTCTTTTTACTTTCTTTTCTAATACACCTGACGATTTACGATTTTGGAAGATTGACGATTTCGCGACCCCCGGAACAATTACCGAGCCGATAAGAATTAGAAAGGGAAAATTTGAGCCTCTTTCCACCGACAGAGTCACACGCGACCGCCTCAACCTAGGACCACGCGAAAGTTTCTGACTGCTTTATCAGCCAAGATCTTTTGCCTCTTTCGCGTGTCCACCAGAACCAAAAAAAAGGCATTCACTTTTGAACCTACACACAACCTCAAAATGAAGGTCTTCAGCAACACCGTCACCTACAACTACTCGTGGGACGAGGTATCCACAGCCAACTGGCAAAAGTACGGTCCCTGGAACAACAAATCCGAGCATGTTGTGGCCGTCGATACCCTCTCTCGCTCTGTCGACCCTGCTACCGGCATCCTGCGAACCGAGCGATTGATTACCTGCAAGCAGTCTGCTCCCGACTGGATGAAATCCCTCATTGGCGGCTCCATGGATGACCACTTCGTATACGAGGCCTCCTACGTCGATCCTGCAAACAAGACTCTCACCATGGTGAGCCAGAACCTGACCTGGAACAACCTGGTTAGCGTACAAGAAGAGGTGGTCTACAGCCCCCTCACCGATCATCAGACCCAGTTTATCCAGAGCGCCCGCATCACCGCCCTTTGTGGTGGCTGGCAGCGCATCAAGAACAGCATCGAAGATACCTTGGTAAACCGTTTCCGCGAGAACGCAGCCAAGGGCAAGGAAGGCTTCGAGCGTGTCCTTGAGATGAGCCGAATCGTTTTTGCCGAGGAGAAGGCTCGGCAAACCCGGGAGACGATGCTGGTACAGTGAATGGCGAGGCGCAGTTGAGGATCCTTGAAACAAGATTCTCCCTATAGACCCCTGATGACACAGAGACTGCTGTGAAAAGCAGTTCTTTCACCACGACTGTACTATCATCCACTCCTCCCCTCTACGATATTCTCATTCCTGGCTTCCGCCAGGTAAAAAATTACTTCTTCGGTTGCGCATATTTTGGAGCGTTTGGGCTTTGGTTCTATTTCTTTTACCCTCGGCATTTTCGGATAACGGCGTTTTTTTTTTAGAGAGGTTATAAAGACACTCCCTCGGTTTGCTGGTTACATTTAGAAAGATGAAAAGTTTTCGGGAAGCCTTGTTCATCCAAAAGAAGGCTTCCTATTTTTTCTTTACTTTGGTTTGAGGAGTTGGGCCTGTGACTATACCCCAAGGTTAGAGGCATTCTCTTTTTTCTTCTTCTCCGGATCGTCTAGACAATTAGAATGGCGGTCTCTATCCAACCCTACTAGATTATTTCACTCATACAATGAAGAAACATGGCAAACCAAAAGAGTCTGTTCAAATTCACCAAGTGACGAACAACGAGCGCACGCCTGTCGCCCCGTGCATTGCCCTCCCCGGCCCAGCGGGTTCGCTGGCTGTGGTGATGCATATCCGGACAAGCAGGGGGCGCCAAACACCTAAATCCGAAACATCGCCGAATGACGATGGTCGTTTGACCAAGTTGGCCAACCCCTAGAATTCAACTCACACTACGCTACTGGGCATAGAATGCTAATAACATAGAATTTATTTGACGGCGGCAAGGTATTCCAGATGGCCAATTTCCAGCAACCACCATAGTCTTCGCATGAGAAAGAGTCTGGTGCCGCCCTGCATGAAGGAACTAGTCCAAGCTCGCCGGTTAAGCTCCCAGCGGGTGGATACTGATAATTATGCATTGTCCTGTATGATAGCAGAGACGGTGTTATTATAACAGAGCTTCTATTAGCATGTCTATCGGAATAGACTGTAGTGACTCATCTCAGTGTGAAGAACTTGTACTCCCAAGGCGGTATCGACGCACTCTCCGCTCGGGAATAGTATACCCAGCCAATGCCAACTCTTCTCGATACCCCGTCAACCGTCACCAGGCCCAAAAAGATGGACTCGGTATCGGGGGGTTTCGTGATCGTGTCGGCTGTGAGCACGGCAACAAACTCATCGACCTCAGTAGAGCCCTCCACGTCAAATCTAAACTCCCCGCGGTGGCCGCCAAACTCGAACCCGTGTATCCGCTTACTTTTGCCCTTCGCTGAGAGTGAAGCGTGGGCGGCATCGATGTAGGCCCCCAGAAACCCCACATCCCCGAGCCCCAGAGACTCTATCGCGTCCTCTTTCCCCGTCGTCGCCAGCGCGTCTACATCTATCCCTATGTCTTGCTGTACGTATTCCTGGAGTAATTTGGTTGGATCAGGCAGATCGTCCGTCTTTGCTGGTCTGCCTCGCCGGGGAGTACACTTAGATACGTCCTGCCACTTGATAGTCTTCTTGTCACCTCCGTAATGCCAATTCAGTATCAGCATGTGCATCGGGACATTGTGGTGCGGCGCATAGGAAATGTTTCTTGAAAGCCACAGACTGTCTGCAAAGACGAACTCAACCGGTCCTTCCCAGGATGCCCTGTAGATTAACAGTTAGCCAGGGCTTCATCTTGTAAACATGCTCCATTTATGCCGGCCACCTTACCATGACCAAGAGGAAAAGCGGGCTCCCTCTATGTTGGGGCAGATTCGCCTGTGCGCCTCGTCTGAAGGGAACCAAAGAAGGGCCTTGTGGAAAAGGTGAACGGGGATGCCCTGTGTCTGCTCCAATGACAGGGAGCCAAAGGGCGTGCACTTGTTGAATCTGTTGACGACTCCTTCAAACGCATGCAGGACATCCTCTGGGAACGAGAGTGTCTTCCGGCTGTAATCCTGCACTGCGGCCTGGTAGTCCTTCATCGTTAGCGAGCCCGTCAGGTCTCCCAGGTATCGATACGGAGTCGGATCCAAATCTTGTCTAAGCTTCCTGTTCCACCACGGTGGCCCTGTCCTCATCTCCAGCTTCATCTTCGAGTCGATAGATTCTAGCGCGTATGACTCTCTCCATTGTAACTTGATGCAGTTGAAGAAGAGCTCATCGGGGGTGAAGTAGAGGCACCGCTGTGAGAGAGCTTGCTCCTGGAATGTCCAGCCTCGTGTGTTCCAGACCGAAGCGCGCACTTCCTCCCCCAGTGATGGCGGGCATATGCTGAGATGTTCCGTGATCCCGTCGTCGATGATGGTGAAGGAGTTGATTGGCCGGCCGTCTCGGTAGCTTACGCCTCTCAGACCAGCGTCTGCATTGCTACCTGATGCCGCAATGAGGGTGACCGCAGCATGATCATAAACGTCGTCCATGCTCTGGATCATAAACTCCTTGTCCTTTCGGTCATCCTGGACGATGCAGAGGGTGTCGACCCAAAGATATCGCATGCCAAGAGTCCGCAGGAAGAGCATAGCGTCGCGTATGGTCTGAGGCAGACGACCAGTGTTTAAATTGTCAATCGCCTCGGGAGACAAGCCTCCAGGGGTACTCAGTTTCTCAAGGTTATCAAGTGTAGTGAGCAAGACGGGCTTCTGGCCATTGCTTTCGCCAGGTTGCAACACGGTCGGAAGCCTTCCCCAGACATAGGAGAGTGCTGCAAAAGCGCAAGCTTCCTTGACGAGGACAAGGCATTGCTTCTCCACGTCTATCAGGCGAAACCCGTTCCTGCTATCGAACATCTCAAAAGTCATCAACTCTGTAGCCTTGAGGGTATGTTCATGGTCGTGACAGAGCTTCAGCCATGTTTTGACGAGCTTGTAGTCGATCTCCGGTCCTACATCACGGCGGGGAACCAGCGATGCCTCCTTCAACTTGGAGTCATCATAGTCGCCGGGCACAGATTCGATTTCAGCAATGATGAATCGGTCCTTCACGCGATCGACTTCTCGTATGACTCTGCGATTCTCGCTGTACCCCGGCGGTCTCACGTCTATGGCCATGAGAAGACGTGGCTGCGGATGCTTTACACGGCCGTTGATCTTGATGGAGAAAGGGCTGCGACTCTGCATGAAGATCCGAGGGACGGGAGAAGTCTCGGCACACAGGCGTTCCGAGCTCCAGCCAGGACCCCAGTTCTGGCGAATTGCCTCCGATATCAGGTTGCAAAAGGGGCAGTCTGGCGTGAGATGCTCTGAAAGGGGTCCCATCTTCACCTCGACCTTTTCTTCCAGCAGCATGGCCCTGACTTCGAGCCTGCTGCACCATTCGCAGAGCTCATTGGGCTGGCGACGGCGGCTAGTATCGGCCGCACGGGCTCTGATGGGCAGATGCGCCGCAAGCGATGCCTTGTTGCCCATATTGCCTGGTAATGAATCAATGATGGGGGATGGGCCGTCGAATCAGGGCATCGGGGTTCCTCGAAGTGATGACGGTCTTTTCCAGTTGGTCATCCTCCGCTTCCCGCCACCCAAGATCAAGCTGCTACAGGCGTGGTGACCATGGTCATGTGCGAGGAGGACAATTAGTGAGGGCAGGGATAAGCATTGCTGAGCTGGTTAGGGATCATCACACGTTCGTTAGGTTATTCGCCAGTAACAGTAGCAGCTTACTCCAGACCAAAAGGTGGGTCGGTCATGCTTATTATCCATTGCCATTGCGCGCGACAGCTGAGCACCAGAGCAGACAGCGAGGCCAGATCGATGTAATTGAGTCTCTAATTAGGTACCTATGTGCTGCTTCCTGATCTGCGGGAGTAGTAGCCAGCTGCTATTTCGGCCTTCCAGCTTGGCCACGCTGCATTTGGAATTGGGGCTTCGTGGAAATGCCCCTCCCGATAATCGGAGCTCCAGTGACGCATGAATAGCGAGAAAAACTTCGGTAAAGCCCCTCGAGACGGCTCTTGACCTCAATCACCACTCTTCCCAGCTCTTCCTTTTGTTTTACAGACCGCCCAAGAACTACCACCACAATGGCCGAGCCATTATTCCCCGACCCCACGTCGGATCTCGGGTGGAGCGATTACATTGGTGCAATCCACGAGCACTTTGGCAAGAATGCTCTTGCGCACCCTTCGCGAGTCTGCGTTACAGAGACCAAGAGCTCTACGTAGGAGAATCATCCTGTACAATCCGACCCTCCCAGCCCCAGCTGCTAAGTTTCATCTAGGTCGCCGACGAGAAGCTTCGATTATCGGCAAATATACGAGGCTTCCAACACAATCGCCAACCATCTGCACGATGCAGGCATCACCAATGGAGATGTGGTCATGATCTTCGCCAACAGAACTGTAGAGCTGATCTGCGCATTTATGGGAGTTTTGGTGCGGCCCATCATATCCGCCTCAATTGGATCCGACTGACCAAGATCATCTCGCAGGCCGCTGGAGCTACAGTCACCGTCCTCGACCCGCTGTACCCGCCGCAAAGGCAGCAAAGTAGGCCTTCCCTGCCCTATTCTTGCTGGAGCTGCTCAGCTAACGGGCGCAGTCTATCTCGAGTCGGCCCAGCCCAAGGCCATGATCTCGATTGGCAAGACCATTGACGAAAATGGGTTCGTGTGTTCCGTGCTTGCGTTGTCGCAAACAGGCCACCGCTCCTTTTGCTGACAAGCCATCTCTAGGCCTCTTGCTCCGCTCGTGCAGAAGTATGTCGACGAACAACTGTCTCTCAAGACCCAGATTCCTGAGCTCCGAATGAGTGACGACGGCATCCTCTTTGGCGGGAAAGAGGATGGCGTGGATATCTTCGACAGACTGCGCCCCAAAGCCTCATCACCCCCCGACGTTCTCGTCGGCCCAGACTCTGTCTCTGTCATGTCCTTCACTTCGGGATCCGAGGGAAGGCCTAAATGCGTGTTGGGGCGTCATTACAGCTTGGCAAAGTACTTTCCCTGGATGTCGAAGCGCTTCAACCTCTCAGCAGATTCCAAGTTTGCTTGCCTTAGCGGAATTGCCCACGATCCCATTCAGCGAGGTAAGACATATCTGTGGTAATGTGTTCCTACTTTAGCTGACGCTTGTATAGACATATTCACGCCGCTTTTCCTTGGCGCTCATCTTCTGATTCCAGCCAAGGAGGACATCGCGCACGAGAAGCTGAGCGAATGGATGCGGGATTGGTCACCCACCGTCACGCACTTGACTCCCGCAATGGGCAATGTGCTTGTGGCAGCATCCAGCGCCAAGTTCCCCTCCCTGCGTCATGTCTTCTTTGTTGGCGATGTTCTGACAACCCGCGACTGCAAGGCCCTGCAGAGGTTGGGGCCAGCATGCCGTATAGTGAACATGTACGGTACCACCGAGACTTCCAGGGCGGTCTCCTACTTTGAAATTCCTTCCGCCGAAGAGGACCCCGCCGCTCTGGACTCGCTGGGTGACACCATCCCCGCTGGATGGGGAATGGAGAACGTCCAGGTTCTTGTCGTATCTCAGAAGGATGGCAAGACGCTGTGCGGTGTTGGAGAAGTGGGCGAGTTGATGATACGAGCTGCCGGACTTTCAGCCGGCTATCTCAATGACCCTAAGCTAAACAAAGAGAAGTTTGTCGACAACTGGTTTGTCGATAATAACAAGTGGGTAGAGGCTGATAAATCCAAGGATAAGGGGGAGTCGTGGCGCGCCTTCTATAATGGCCCTCATGATAAGCTCTATCGAACGGGAGACCTCGGCCAGTATCTTCCCTCAGGAGCCGTGCGTGTATCTGGACGAATTGACTCCCAGGTCAAGATTCGTGGTTTCCGGATTGAGCTCAATGAGATTGACGCCAATCTGAGTAACAGCCCTCTTGTGCAAGACTGCAAGACGCTTGTCCGGAGAAACGCCCATGAGGAGCCTAAGCTTGTTAGCTACATCGTTCCCGAGCTTGCTGAGTGGAAGCGCTGGCTGGAGGCCAACAATCAAGAAGATCTCGAGGATGAGGGTATCGAGATTGGACCTGCTGTTGTTTACCTCAAGAGGTTTCGCGCCCTTCAGGCGGTTGTTCGTGACCATCTCAAGGACCGTCTTGCGTCTCACTCGATACCCTCAGTCTTGATTATGCTGAAGAAGCTTCCCCTTAATCCAAACGGCAAGGTTGACTCCCCGAATCTGCCTTTCCCTGATGCGGCGCAAATCATGGAGGAAGCCTCGGCAGAGGACCTGGCGAGCTGGGAGTCCCTATCAGATACAGAAAAGACTGTCGCCTCGCTCTGGGCAACTCTTATCCCAGGCCTAAACGCCAAAACGCTCAGGCCCGGCTCGGACTTCTTCGACTGCGGCGGGCACAGCTTGCTCGCCCAGCAAATGTTGCTATCTGTACGAAAGGACCTGAAGGCAGATATTCTTATTAGCGTTCTTTATTACCACCCGACTCTGCGAGGCTTGAGCAGCCAGGTCGACCAACTACGCAGTGGCCAAGCTGTCGAAAAGCAATCCGAACCCAACTATGCTGAATCATTGGATAATTTGATGAAGACCCTGGATGAAAGTTATCAGACGGCGGATCCAGATGCCCTGAGCCCATCAAGCGGTGCCACGTTCTTCCTCACTGGTGCCACAGGTTTCTTAGGCGCATATCTAGTAAAGGATATCTTGGAGAGAGGTAACACCAAGCTCATTACACACATCCGTGGAGCCAAGGATGTTGCTTTTGCCAAGGAGCGCCTGAGAAGATCGCTCAAAGGCTATCTATTATGGCAAGACTCGTGGGAGGATAGAATCTCGTGTGTTCTTGGCGACCTGTCCAAGCCCCGCCTCGGTCTTGATGATGCCAGTTGGAAGCACATCGCCGAGACAGCAGATGTCATAGTCCACAACGGTGCCTACGTCCACTGGATTGCCCGATATGAGCAGATGCTGAGCAGCAACGTACTTTCTGTTATCGATGCAATGAAGCTCTGCAATGAGGGCAAGGCTAAGCTTTTCTCCTTTGTCTCCTCAACTTCGACTCTGGACACCGACTACTACTACAACCTCTCGAGGGACCAGGTCGCCATCGGCCGCGGCGCCGTGCTTGAGGCAGATCCTATGGATGGTAGCAGAGAAGGTCTGGGAACTGGGTATGGGCAAACCAAATGGGTTTCTGAGCAACTGGCTCGCGAGGCTGGCAGGCGAGGTCTCCGTGGCTCCGTCGTCCGAGCTGGGTACATTCTCGGCGGCCACAACGGTGTGGTCAACACGGACGATTTCCTCGTAAGACTTTTAAAAGGGTGTCGCGAGCTGGGCGCCAGGCCTCGTATCATCAATACCGTCAACACCATCCCAGTCGATCATGTTGCCAAGGTCGTCGTCGCCTCGGCCCTGAACCCTGCACTGCCCGGAGTGAATGTCTGTCACGTCACTGCACACCCGAGACTACGCATGAGCGAGTTCCTCTCGGCGCTGAGCTACTACGGGTACGATGTTCCTGAAGTCGACTACGAGGAGTGGAAGACGCGGCTCGAGGAGTTCGTGCTGGCCGGCTCGGTCGAGAAGGATCAGGAGCAGAGCGCGCTCATGCCATTGTTCCACATGGCCACGTCCGACCTGCCGTCAACAACGCGCGCGCCTGAGCTGGATGACAGGAACACCGTGGCTGTCCTCAAGGGCGACGCTGATCGCTGGACGGGCGTTGATGATAGTGCTGGCGAGGGCGTCACGCGCGAGGATATCGGGAGGTACCTGAGGTTTCTGGCAACGATCAAGTTCTTGCCTTGGCCGACCGGGCGCGGGCGCGAGCTGCCACCTATTTCAGCCGACGTCGCGGAGGCTCAGGCACAATGGGGAGTGGGCGGTCGTGGTGGCGCCAGTGCATGATGTTGCCCGTGCTGGATATGATGAGGCTGATGGATGTGGAATCTTAAAAGAACCCTCTAGAGGGGAGCGTATGCAAAAGTTGTGTTTTCATAGGGATGATCTATAGGGTACAAACAATTCGAGAATCAATTGGGGATTAAGTCAACATGCTTCATGCCGAGCGGTTGGTCTCCAGCCATTTACTGTAAATGGGGTAAAGGTACGACCCTATGATCCTCATCAGAACCGCGAGACTGCCCAAGTAAGTCGAATCTAACACTGCTGAGCGGGTGAGTGGTCATGACAGGTTCGTTGGGCAATTACTACATGTAACCAGTCACACTGTTCCAACCAAAGGCGGGTCATGCTTATTTATGCATGGTGAGACTTTATGTACAGTATCTCGATTATTTTTAGCTGGTGTAACACATCGATGGACGACCAGGGGAAAGCCACCGTATGTGAAATATCGAACACGTCGCAGTGTATGAAATTGGCATGTGTGAATAAGGCGCATGCATTATCGCTAGAACCAGGTACAGACCATCCACCGCCGGTGTGGCGTCGAAATGAAGTCATAAAAGATGCATCACCGCTTCTGGCTAACTCGCTTCAGGGCCAAAGACGGGCGGAACGCTGTCGATCCTCGCTAACTAGGCCCTTTCTTACCCTTTGTTCAGCTGAGGCATACTACTTACTAGCTACTTACTGCCTTGCACCTCCCAGCCGCAGCGTGTCTTATTAATAAGATCCAATCTACCTGGCAGGAGTGAGCAGGGCTGAAATGGCCATCTGCGCTTACTTGCCCGATGAGACAGGCAGCATGACTGGTCAAGGACTTGGCTCTTTCACTCTGCCGTGAGCGAATTTGGCATAGAGATCGTATAAACGAGGGACATGCCCGTACATTAATTACTCTTATTGTATCCATTCCTCTTCCAATACATCTACAAAGGCGCCATGGGTCTTTTTGCCTCGCTGTGCTGCCTGGGGTCGGCCCGTGATGTTGAGCCCGACCGGCCAGACAACACCCATCACACAGAGAAAGGATCGGCCACGGGAGCCTCTCGGGATTTTCTCCAAGGCCCATCGACTATCCCTCCGTTCCTCCAACAGCTGTCAGAGTATTCCGATACGCCAATCAAGTCGGTGCTGCAGCCTTATCTGGACGACGAGACGCAGCTTCGACAGTCGTTTGCTCGTGGTGACCCTGACGCAGCCAGACTCTCTCACCTCATCCCCCTCTACCCGCACCAGCAGAGCCTGCTCACGTCTAGAATCAAAGAACGGGATGGCTGCGGACCTGACAAGTACCTTATGCGTCTCTCAGCGGAGAAAGTCGGTCGGCCCGGCGCTCCCGCCATTGTGACGTCTCTAGACCAGTACCAGACAAACTTCGAGGCCTTCTCCCATGGTGAGCTCCCGCCCACACCAAACCAATGCAGGATATTCTTACCTTCAATTTCCTGACACTGATTCTTAAAAACATGCAGCCTCTTTATCTGGCCTAGGTAACTAAATGCAGTCCAGAATTTATCATCGGGACTTGAAGAGACTAACGGCGTTGTAACATATCCAAGACTGGTCCAATGTAATCGCAGCCGGCTCATCCGCACTCCTCCCTCTTCTCCCAAGACGAGATGACATAGACATAGCATTCAACCCGGCTGTTGAGAATCCTTTGGAGACATATTTCCAGTACAACACCAGTCCCCCATTGCCACTACATCCTGGTTCATCGGGAAGTAACACGTTGATAGGGAAATAGCGAGCGCCAGTGACATTGATCTGTTTCTCTACGGTTTGGATGAAGATCAGGCGACCAGAAAAATCATCCAGATTGATTCAACCATCAGGAAAAATCAACGTCTCCCGGCAGATGGTGGCTTGACTTTGCGGACAAACAATGCCATAACCTTCATTTCGCCGCGGTGGCCGTATAGGCACGTTCAGATCATACTCCGTCTGTACAAGTCCCCCAGCGAAGTACTGGCGGGATTTGATGTCGACTGTGCCTGTGTTGCCTACGACGGTGGCCAAGTATACACAACACCAAGAGGGGCTGCCTCGATCATGACACGAACCAATACTATTGATCTAACACGCCGGAGTCCTTGTGGGTGGTCCCATTCCTCAGAATATTTCAGAGAGATTTTCTCACGCTTTAGCAGCATATGAGTATCGTCTATACAAATATCGTAGTCACAACTTTGACGTGTACTGGGACTTTCTGGAGAGGTCGCGAATTGACAAGTTTATATTTCAAGGAGATCAGAACCCGTCTGAGCTACACGGACTGGCGCGACTCCTCTTCTTTGAAGAATCTATCCGCAACTATGGAGACGACCAAAACTACCAGAAGCGACGAAGGTTAAAGAAGATCCAGGACGTCGAGGATTCCGCTCCGAGTGGATATGCGGACCACGAGATACCTTATGGCGAGAGGTTCACTGCACCGAGGTAATGCATCGAATTTTTCCTATACCCCATGGATGACTTTTTTCATTAATAGAACGACAGCGTCCGAAGATACGTGGCACTCCACTCCAAAGAGGCCTATCGGTTTGGGACGATTCATGAGGTAATGGAGGAAGGGTCAATCGCGAGTCAAAACGACATAGAAGGGAAACTTCAATTCATCACAGATGATCCTGGGCGTCAAATGATTGGCAGCTTTCACCCCTTGACAGACGACGATTGGTATATCATTCCTTGGTTATTCCCTGCTCGCATCGAAGTTGATCGCTGATGACTTTTTCCCAGGACGGACATGGCATACGATATCGGGGCAGAGTCGGCGGGTCAAGAATCTATCAGTGTATAACTATTAGTCGACTTTGCTTCTGAATCATCGATAAATTGCTAGGAGTTTGCTCGGGCATTGCGAAGTTTATCAGAATCGGCGAAACCAGTGCCATGCGTTTTGTCCCCATTGTGTATACGGAACGGCGAGTGAAGGGTTTCTCATCATTGGAAGAGCTCATATTCAAGAAACAAGGGCGAGTTATCTTACCTTTGGTCTTTATTGCGATAATTAAATCGAGCCGCGCAGTATGGTCGCTCTTGGAAAGGAAAAGGGTCGGTCAACGTTGCCCGGCTCAGGGGGAGGGGGCTCCTTAAATAGCTGGATTTATCAAACGGGAAATATATCACTCGAAATACATTCAGCAGCTCGGTTTCATCGTTTTTGGTACAAGCATACGCCCTGCTACATGGGCGCTGCCCTAGCTGAGTCCTCATTGGGGGACGTGTTGATCCTACTCATCATTTGTCTAAATGAGTCACTGTGACTAACTACTCCAACCACGTACCCAGTAGCTAATACAATATGGCGCACCGAAGAACATGTCTTACCCTCTCATATCAGTGTGCTACTAGTCCTCCTTCATAGGAATGCTCGGGAAAAGTTGGAAAGTAGAATGGGGTTCACTGGCTGACAATACCCCTCGAATGGAAATAGCTGGCGCGTGGGAAATGGACAGACGACTCTCAGATGTTGGAATAAACGGAGACTAAGCCCCAAATCACTACGGTTTATTCTGAAAGAAGACATGTTTTTTCCCCGCTCTGGTTCCTAGACAAACAATTCATTGTAATAGAGCCCACTTAGAAAGGGGTTGGGTGATTTTCATAAGCCATCAACCAACAGCATAGCATTTGTACCTAAGAACAACCAGGGAATTCTATGGCCCGTAAGCCCTTGATCCATCCGGGTCTTTGGCTCCCTACAAAAGAGAATCAAGCCTCCAAAGTCATCTGGGAAATAAGCCTTGGTCTAGAGAAGAAACCTCAAACGGTTATCGTATACATCTCGCCAGCCTGGGTCCCGAAAGCTTCATCATCTAAACCTCTGTATTCGCGCCCATTAACCTTGTATGACACGCCATTTCCAATTCGAATCTTGAGCGGGTTGCCCTTCAAGGAGGTTATGGACGCTCCACGGAACTCCCCACCCTCCCACTCCATGTCAATCTTGAAGCCGCCCCTGCCAATCCATCCCTTGAAGCTTCCAGAGGACAGCCCCAGGCCGGCCTCGGGAATGGCCGGGCCCAGATGGACAGCCCCGGCGTGGCTCTGCAGGAACATCTCCACCACACTCGCCGTGTAGCCCGAGTTCCCGTCGATCTGGAAGTAGCCCCCGTTACGGCTGAACAGGTTCTCGTGCACCCACCGATCCTGAAGCTCGACCAGGTACTGCACCGCGTGCGCGCCATCAAAGAGCCGGGCGTGGAGCACGCTGGCCCACGTCACGGCCCAGCTGTTGCCCCCTCCCCCGTTGTCCATCCTCCACCGCAGGAGGGTGTACGCCTTGTCCGCGTCCTCGGGCGTCGTCAGCCGCGTCGTCCACGTCCCCGGGTGAGCGCCCACCAGCGGCGAGAAGTGCCTGTGGCCGGGCTGGTTCTCGCGGAACTCGCGCGAGTACTCGAGCAGCTGGCCAAACGAGCCGGCCACCGGGCGTTGGATCCCGTCGCGGAAGTCCCTGGCCCGCGCCACGCCCTCGTCCAGCCCGAGCGCCTCGGAGATCTCGACGAAGCCCTGCATCACCTCCCACATGATGGCGCGGTCGTTCATGGCCCCGGCGTCGATCCCCGTGTTCTCCCCGGCCACGGTCATGCCCTCGGGGATGTAGTACGAGTTCTCGGGGGAGCAGCTGGGGTTGGTGATCCAGTGGCCGTCGCGCTCCGTCGCCCAGCTGTAGATGAAGTCCATGGCGCCCTTGAGGATCGGGAGCGTGCGCTCCTTTGCGAATGTCAGGTCGCGTGTGAAGCGGAAGTGCTCGATGGCCTCAAAGGCTACCCAGGCACCACCGAGGGGGTAGGGCGCCGCAATCGTCAGACCGTGGTATGGTGTTGCGTCAAACGTGATGTCTGTGTTATGGTGGGCACACCCTATGGTAAAAGTAACGAGTCAACATCCAGTTTCATCAAGGGTAACAAAGACATGTGCTTACATCCATCTGCACCGTACATGCGAGTCGCCACATCGCGGCCGACTACGGACAGCTTATCCAGAAAATCAACAATGGGCTCCGCGATCTCTGGAAGGTCGAGAGGCTGCGCAAGCCAGTAGTTCATCTGCAGGTTGATGTTGAGCGTGAACTTGCTGTCCCAGGCAGGGTTGAAGGCCTGGTTCCATATGCCCTGCAGGTTGGCGGGTAAGGTTCCGGGACGGGACGATTGGATGAGCAGATACTTGCCATAGTTGAACTGGAGAGACATGAATTCAATGTCATTCTCGACGTTGCCCCCGCGCTTCCAGTTCTCGCGGCGCTCGGGTACAGTCTTCAACCCGATCTCGTCTGATGTTCCCAGGTCAATAGACGAGCGGTTGTAGTAACTCTGGTAGTCTTCGATGGATTCGCTTCGCAGTGCCTCGTACCCAAGACGAGACGCTTCCTTCAGTCTTTCAGCTACTATTTGGTCAAGGTCGTCGTAGGTTGCATCAGGGTGGTGATAGGCGGTCTCGGCAGAGTAGAAGATCCAGACCTCATCCGCGTCGGTGATCTCGATAGCTGTACCATTGGAAGAGACAGTTCCGGTGTCTTTTTCAAACCATCAGACGTCTTGTCCCACTACAATAAAGGCCGAAGATATAATGGCTCACCGTTCACGAGTATAATCCGCGCCTTGGAAGCAAAGCGATAGGTATCATCCTCCTGGCCTGTTCCATGAAGCGTCAACTGTCGGGGGCAGAGCTCAGCCGACACGTGGGTGGCATTCAGGCTCCTTGACAGCCCGAGGCTCAGACTCAACGAACCGGGCTGTTCTGCTGAGATTTTGAAAGCCAGGACATTGTGTGGATAGTTGGCAATGGACTCCCGAGAATACGTGATGTTTTCGTGATCGTAGGAAACTGATACGATTCCATTCGAGATGTCCAACTCCCGTCTGTAGCTTGAAACGTCCGCCTGACCGTGCGGGAAGTCAATACGCAACTCTCCCGCGGGCTGATAGCGTCGCATGTCATCGTAATCGGGAACAAAGTGCTGGCTCCATGTCTCTCCGGCCTCTGTTAGAGAACCGTTGAGTATCTGTTGGCGGAGCGTCTCAAGATTGTCCTTGGCGGTAGGGGGAACCTTGTCCATGGGCCCTCCGCTCCAGATTGACTCCTCGTTCAATCGGATGAGCTCCTTGTCAACGTAACCATGGACAACAGCCCCGAGCCGCCCATTACCAATCAGCAATGCATCGAAGAAGTCACGGACAGCCGATGCATTGTAATACAGCTTATGAGAGGCCTCGGAAGCTCCCGTCACAATATCAACGATCGCGAAAGAAATCACAATGAGGCGGTGGAGGCTAAAGAGCCTCATGGTAGGCGGCTGGGGTAAGTAAAAAAGCAGATAAGCGGGCAGCACTCGACGAGTCCATGATGTTCATCGGCAACGAGGAGATGGTCTATGATCTATGATCTAGTGATAGTTCTTTGGTCCTTGGCATCAGTCTATGCTCGGTCTATCTTTGCGCAAAAAAGTGGTTGCGAAGGAGGAGAGAAAATCCGTGAACAGCCTATTCGAGCCGGCGATCACGGGGTTTCCAACAAAAATTTCCCCGCAACAGTTCAGGAACCCCTTTTCCATCTCTGCGGATAATACCACAGGGCTACATGGGCTCGAGGTCTCCTCGGTTACAGGAAATGAAACCAGGAAAATCCATCCAGAATGCGTGCGGTGTAGTTCGTAATCAATATGCACAAGTAGCGTTGATCTGACCACCGTCGCATAGCTATATATATAGCTGATGAATATGGGGGCCGTATCGTGAGATTATTGTGTAAATTATCATCTCTCCGCCAGTTCCACTTCAAGTTTGAAGGCAGGAACAGTCTATTTTCAGAGAGTAAGACCTAGACCTAGGTTATCCCACCGCTGACCGTTTGTGTCACAGCTCGGTGTAACATGAGCGATCACCCAACGTGTTTGCTATCCATGGTGTTGGATCTGGGTTGGGTAACATGGCTGTGACAGGTGTCAGACACTAAAGCTTGTTGGGAGCTCCCAATTAATCCGTCGGTCCTGTGTGGTTTTAGCCGGCAGGGCATCCCTTCCAGGGGGTGTTTGATGCAAATCCTCCAAATTCTCGATTATCAGCCGGGCTGCATCTTGCCGAACATCTTGGACTTCCATCACGTGCCAGCAGCGCCATGGAACGGACGACTTGATGCCAGACCTAAACCAAATTGGTGTAGAATGTAGCATCTCTAGCCCCCAAGTTGCTCTGCACCCTTGGGAAACTGATGATACTGTACACCCATAATCAAACAGATTATTCGGATGAAACAATGACGGACGCTCATGTGGCAGGTGGCTGGGGGTTGTTGCCAACAGACTTGTAGAGATCGCGTAGTTCGAAATCCTCCAGACTCCCACCCTCAGGGAGTTCCCCTATCAGTCTGGCAGGCTGCCCAGCGACGATGGAGAAACTCGGTATGACCATGTGAGGAGGTACAATGGTACCGTCCAAAACCCGCACGCAATCCTTGATGATGGCAAACTCCCCGATTGTGCAGTCCCTTCCAATGTGGACATAGTTCCCAACCGTCGCGGCCTGCACCACCGTGCTCTGACCAACAAACACGTGGTCCCCCATCCGCAGCGGCATATACGTGAACGTCCCCTTGTAGATCCTGCCAGGCGGCCGCAGCAGCGCGCCGCGCGCGAGGAAGCAGTATCGACCGATGGCGACGGCGGTGGAGTTGGCGGGACCTCCGCTAGAAGATGACGAGGGGGCTGTTCTGACGAGGTCGCCGCGTATCATGACTTCGGGTTGGATGACAGCCTTGCCTCCTAGCATGATGTTCTGTGTGCCCTGCAGCATAGCCTTCCGGGAGACTTTGTTTCCGCTGTCCTAGACGGCGTCATCGGGTCAGCAGCTAGCTTACAGAAACGAAGGGGGGTGGTTGTGGCGATGTCGCTAGACGGGTTGGGGTCGTACAGTCTCGATATAGTCGCCTTTTGCTTGTCTGCGTGACATTTTGGCGACTTCTGGAGAGGTTCTAGGGGCAGGCACCTAGAAATTCGAGTAGAGGCGTTGTTGTGTTGGATATAGCTACCTAGCTAGCAGGTAGTGGAGAGGAATGGTTTGAAGCTGTGGAGAGCTATGGGCAACTTGAGTCGTAAGCTACCCTAGACCCAATCGACTACCAGACAAACAAGATGAACGTTTGAAGCCAAACACCTAGACTAATCGTAAAAACATGTACGAAACCTACAGAATAACAGTAACAGTGGAACATCTCGTCGCTTGTGTTGGATTGGAAATTCATGGTTTTGTAACACCCCATCTGCTCAAGTGTTCACTAAGTGCCTGAGGTATGCGTCCAGATTCATTGCCTCCTCAAATTCCTCACGCAGCACCTACAGGATGACAATGATGTTGGGTAAAATGAGAAAACCAATTCCTACCCTTGTAGACCTCACACACTTATCTTCATTACGTGTATTGCATATACATCTTACTGGCAAAAGGGCTTCAAAAAAGACAGATGGCATAAGACAGCCTTTCATCACACGCTAGCCACCATCTTCCCTGACAACATGTCCCCTATTACCGCCCTCTTGGTCATTCGGATGCAAAATTTTGATTTCCTGAAACTTGAGATCACATCTCATTGGACTATCTCGGCGTGTCACACCGGAGAAGGGGGGAAGCGTAGAGATTTGGTAGGGTTGCGCTGCTCCGAGCCGCCGAGAACTGTGGAAATACGAGTCTATTCTCATACGAGAAGCTTCACTTAGTTTGAAAAGTTTGAGGTAGATAATTGATCATCCAGCAGAACTTAACGGGTAGCGACAAGCCCGTCGTTCAATGAAACAAAGAGCTGGAAAGCACTAGGCCGCGGCCATGATCCCAACACATGACATCTCGAACTGGTCCTATAGTCAGCCGGACTGCGTTCAAATCCACTGATCCGTCACTCTCTTGCAAATTAACACGTCACCAAAACTTTCTAGGAGCATCGTGGGTTGCGTTAGACTCAAACACTTACCGCTCACGGCGGAGAATGCTTGTGGTTTGTTTAAAGCTCATGCTTATGCTTTTGCGCCGACATGCCGCATAGCAAATACGTACCGCTGTGAAGTGTGACCATGCTCAACATTTGGATGTGACCTACCTATGGTAGAATTGCCTCTACGAGAGTGAACCGTAAGTACCTCCATCCTTGGCAGATAGTTCCACGCGGTCTTTCTGTTGGCTGCTCGTCCCAAGTAAGCGCCGCCGAGCTTGCCAAGAGAGTATGACCAGCGCAACGTGGAGGACACAAGCGAGAACATGCTTAGGTAGTACTGAAAATGCAGGGTAGGGAAAATTCGAATTCTCATTCGCTTGGGGAATTATCAGGGACGCGAAGTAGCATTGTGGGGGCGAATCTGCCTCACACGGAGTCGCACCTTAGGGGTCGCATCGTGACCAGCCCTGAGCCCGGGAGGGTCAGGTGCAAAGAACACAGCAGCTGGATCTTACGGTCTCGACTTACACTACAGCGAGGGACGCGGAAGGGCAGAGGGCAGGCCCAGACAAGGGGAAGCATGCCAGCCTTCCCGGCTGGTGACGCCGGAGTCGTTTCGGAATTGTTGATCAACTCGAACCCGCCCATCTCGAGCTTGGCTATTGGTGAGTTCAGATCAAGCCACGCGCTTCTCTCTGTCTTGGCTTGTGTTGCAACTTGCGCCGACTTTACGACCGATATATTAGGCTTTCTATTTTGATGGGAAGGGGTTATGTCCATGACAGGTGGCGTATGATTGGAGCATTCTATGGGAAATCGCTTGCCCAAGCCAGGGGGGATGTGAGCTGCAGGAAAAGAAAGGAAAGAGAAGAGAAAGTGCCCGCCATTGCAATGTACACTTGGGGCTGCGTTTCCGAGGTAGGTACCTTGGCATCTCTGCTTATACAGATGTCAACTATAACACATTCCAAGGGATTTTAATGGCTCAAAACCTGGGATCAGACCACTGTTTGGCTGTTTGAGATGCTGAAAGGCACCCAGCCGGCTGAGCGTTGCCGTGAGCCATGACCATGAGGAGTCGATTTCTTACATGGGTGGGTTTGGATCGGGAAACCGCCCTTGGCACACGAAGATACGCGTGGTTACCCCCAACGTTTCCATACTACCACATATTAGTCGTAGTATGTCCATGTTCAACGCGCAGTTCCTTGCTGGCTGGAATACGGCAGACACTACCTACCATGTTGGTAGCAGACTTGCGCATGGACCAATGGTGGGGCCTTGCAGTTGGGTTTATCCTTGTTCTCCATGGCGCGAGGGCAGAGGGGCCGATCCAAGATGATCCGCATGAAATTAAGATTTCCGTCGAGTGTTCCTGGTGGCACAGAGAGGTGCGGTTGGCCTTCTAAAGGCGTTCGAATTCCAAGACTGACATCGGGAAAATGATCGTCATTGCGTATCTGCTGTGAGCAGAGCAGACACCGAGAGCCAACCATCTGAATTGTTTCCCGTATTAGAAACATGGTTAAGGTCGCACTTGCCAGGGGGCTAGACTCGAAGAGCCGTAGCTCCCATTTGCGACTTGCACTTGGTAATTGTGGACCTGGACCCTCGCACTTTCCCTGGAAGATGCGGGCAAGTGGAGCCGGCATGCACTTCCAGGGCCGAGGGGCCAATAGAATTGTGCTCTCTAAGCGCGACGGGCGGCAAGGTGCGGGGCTTTAGCTGCCAACTTTTGGTGGAAGCCATTGCCATTGCAATTGCCAAATTGCCATGGCAGTCCAAGACTCCAAGTCCACACCACCATCACCACCACCACCACCACAACTGCCTCCCTCCTGCGCTAGCAATGCACCCGCCGGTCCTGAGCTCTTGAGAAAGTCGGGACTAAAAACAATGTAGCTTGCCTGTTGGCCCCAAGGTGCGTGAGACACAACCTTCTCTCCCACGTGTCAGGGTGCTAGAGCTAGAGTCGGTCAATCGACATGATGAGATGCATGAAATGCATTCGGCGGGCCAAGGGTCCCATCCCATCCCTTCCTTCTTTGTAACCAAGACGCGAGGAAATTGACCTTGGGCCTTCCCTCCGTGGCTGTCCTCATTAGGCACCGGAGAACCTTTGCTGCTTAATTCTCCCCCTCTACCCTGGTACCAAGAGTACCAAGACTGGCCAAGAAAGCCACGCCGAGAGATCTAGCCGCCGACAAAGGCCTTTGTCTCCCCACCCCCGCTCATCCGTTACACTGAACTGCCGGTCCCTGGTCCGTCCCTCTCTGCCCGTGTCTCGACCTCGTCCCTCCCAGTCCCAGCAAGACGGATTCTGGGGGCAGGATTTGGGCCAACAACCAAGATACTGCCACCAACTACAGATCGCGCTTACCATCCCAAGCCCTCGGATTCCAGCGCCATTGTGGCCGTGAACATGACCAAGATGACGGGTGGCTAAAAGCTCACCTGTTCATTTTAAGGTTCTGCCGCTCCCTTAATTTAGAATCAAGGGGAAATAACCAGACGTCGATGTTGCTACGGGTGTTCGCCCACACCATCATTTGAATTACCTTACCCCCCCGTCCAGACATCCAGCCTAGGCCGTGTGAGAAAAATAACTGTCAGCCACCCGGGAGAATATTGCATGCCAGTAACGGCCCTAATGCCGACTCTGCATGAGTAGCTCAGTCGCACCTGCGCGCTTCCACCCCTGTCTAGCCAGGCTATTTTCTGCTCTCGAAATACCACCAGGCGGTACGTCGCACTGGTCCCGAGCTAGGGCCTCGTCTGCGGCGGCCACCCGCCCAGCCTTCGCTACGTAGTCCTGCACCTGCTTGCCCCGACCGGGTTGTAAGCGCTTAGGCGGTTACCTTTTGGTGTGGTTGGTCTCGAGAGATTTTCGCTGCATGAGAGATCCGGCTATAAGAGTATCGGCATGTCTCTCCCGACTCACTAGCCTTCACTCAAACACAGCTCATCAACAACCTCTTGCATATCAAACTCTTTGGTTTTTCCTTTTCCATTTCCTATATTTCTTATTTCTCGTTTCGTCTCCGGGATTTCCTTGTCAATCATCTTCCTTTTCCTCTCAAAGTCTCCCTACTTCCAGCAATCTCATCCTTGCTCCAGCTCCTCGACTTACAAACTGATACTCTCACCACACACTCCAAAAACCACCACAATCACAATCACAATGCTTTCCAAGTCGTTGCTGTTGCTGGCCACCGCAGCCTTGGCCCTGGCCACCCCCATCCGCAGAGGTCCTGGTTGCTCAACAGGAACCACATCTCCCGTTCTGCCAAAGAACGGTGGCAGCAGTAAGTATTCCGAGAAAGCCAATTGCAATTGATGGATCAGATTGACTGACCTGGACTCCAGAGGAGCTCCCCAATCCCACCAACTCGTCTCTCAAGGCCATCGTGCTCGGTTTTGGCATCCAGAACTACACCTGCACCGGCGCTGGTGCCGAAGCTAAGGCCGCTGGTGCACTGGCAATGCTTTACGATGTGACCGACCTCTACCCCGGCCAGAGCACCGACTCTCTCACCCTCCAGACCTTCAACGCCCTCACCTCTGTCGCTCTCTGGACGCACGAGGTCCCATTGAACCTCGTGCAAGCCACGTCCGTCACCAAGGGCGCGGACCTTTCCAGCCCCTTCCCCGCAGACGCTTCACTCCAGATCGGCAACCGAGAGCTTCCTTACGCCGGCCACCACTTCTTCAACGCTGCCGGCTCTCCCCAGTTTGTCGTCTCAACCAAGAAGGCCGCCATCAACATCATCGCCGCCAAGCTCGACGACGCACCCGCCCCCTCGTACGCCGACAAGGGCCCTTCCGGCACTGGCGCTGTTGCTTGGTTGTACCTGGGCCAATCTACGAGCACAAAGTCAACTGGAGCCAAGTACGTCTACCGTGTCAACACTGCTGGTGGCAACCCCGCCACTTGCTCTGGTGAGGGCACCGAGAGCACGTCGTACACTACGCAGTACTGGCTCTACGAGTAAAGGGAACAAAATTCAAAAATAACAAAAAAAAAACACCCAAAGAAGGAAATATGCATTTGCTGTTGATGGCTCCTCAAACTTTTTTTATTATCTCTTTTTTTCTCTTATTTTCTACGACTTATAGATTTCATTCCGTCCCTCTTTTATACGGCAGCATGCATATCGGGAAAGGGTCAAACGGGTTACTTATTCGGACAATCTTTATAATGGTCAACTTGGAGCTTGGGCATACTCATCAATCTACTGTTTATATTCGAGATATCAGTTCATATATCTACAAACCTATTACTATTCCATGACCTCTAGACGTTTCCGGACCGTGAAAAATCAAATCTTAGTGCTCCTCCTTCCTAATTTCCTAGTATCTTAATCTAACGAAACGGTCGACTTGGACCTAGAACCGCCATGGAACTCTGCCATGGACAAGACGAGCCCCGTCTTGCTGCTGCAATGCGACTCTGACCGCGTGCCGCCGCCTGAACGTCCCGTTTCGGAATATTTCCCCAGCGAATGGCGACGGCCGCTGTGGAATCTGCACTACCTGATGGGGGGACCTATGAGAGCCTGCCACCAATATGGTTGCATTTGCGATGGGGGGCCGCCGTTTGGGTCGCCTATGTGGCACCCTTCCCCGGCGCCTATGTACCAGACCCCCTCTCTGCCAAATGAAAACTCTGGCAAGGCGCCACCGGGAATGTTCAGCTAGCTCATTTCTGGATACGGCTTGGCAGCTTGACATGCAGGTCATTTCCAGAGCGTGTCCAGGGCGCGAGGGGGGATAAAAAAAGATGGCGAGAGATTACAGGCTCTCTTGACGCTGGGTGACCAAGCAGCCTCCATATGGGAAAACGCTGCATGACTGACGCAGGCTGGAAGTCTATATTTACTGAGACGAGATAGGTTCATTATTTCAACGGCGGATGCTGCCCAAGCAAATTGTCTACTATTGTAATTAGTCCGTAGCAACCTAAAATAAACCTTTGCTCACATCTGGGGCTATCCAAAATAAAAACCAAATTCGCTACTACTTCGCAAATCAATCATTGGAGGCACGTGTTCGGCCAGGTTCCCAATCGTGAAAGATTCGTCAACCAAACCGGAGGGCTGACGGGACCTTAATATTTTCCTTTCCGCAAAACAAAGATGGAACTTGCAACACGGCAAAAAGAAGTGTTGGAAGGATATATGCAAAAAACCATTAAGCAACATCAGTTCTTTCATAAAAGAGTAGCAATAACACCCTTTCTAGATTCATCAGTAGCATTCTGACATTAGCCTTTTACCTCCTTGATCCATCCAGACCCTGGAGGTCTTGCTCAAGACCACCACCGTGGCCGAGGTACTCCTGGGGTCGCGGGTCATCGGCCGTCCATTGACCCTGTTGTGGTAGAGGCACCTGGCCCGCCCCGGGGATTTGACCAGCAGCGCCTGGCTGGCCACCGCCAGGGACGGTTCTAACGAGCTGGCGGAATCTGATAACTTCATCCAGGATCACCCTGCGCATGTCACCGAGGTCCTCGATGACCTCGAAGTCGAAGTTGAAGGTGGTTGGGCAGTCTGGCTCGTCGGAGGCATCGTGCCAAACCTGGAGGTAAGGGTGCTCGAGGGCCTGCTCTACGCTGATACGGCTTGAGGGGTCGAAAGCGAGCATCTTGTCAAGAAGGTCAAGTGCGTCGGGGTTGGCGTTGGAAAATAGGGCGGGGAAGGGCTTCTTGGGCATGTATGGCAAGTTGCGCACATATTCCTGGGCACGAGGGGATCCGATGCGAGAGAGGGTTTCCTCGTTGGGAGTACCGAGAATGTTGAGGATCTGGTTGAGCTGGTCAACGTAGTCACGACCCTTGAAGAAGGGTCGTCCACCGAGAAGCTCGGCGAGAATGCAGCCAACAGACCACACGTCAACTGCGCAAAGAACGGTCAGAAACGGTTACTAATATCCCATATATGTAAAGGATCTCTGGGCCCAACGTACTAGCTTTGGTGTAGCTCTGGAAGCTCAGCATAATCTCGGGAGCACGGTACCATCGAGTAGCCACGTATTCCGTCATGTATCCGGCATTCTCCTCGGGGTCGACCGAGAAACCACGGGCAAGACCAAAGTCGCAAATCTTGAGCTCGCAGTCGGCATTAACCAGAAGGTTACCTGGCTTCAAGTCACGGTGAAGGACGTTGGCCGAGTGGATATACTTGAGACCGCAGAGGATCTGGTAGATGAAGGACTGGAAGTGGGCGTCGGTAAGGGGCTGTCCGGATCGAATAATGGCAGCCAGATCACACTCCATCAACTCTATGTGGAATCAGTGATCTTGGTCTTTCCCGAGCGAAGCGCGCGCGTAGCACAAGGCTGCCCGCGATGGCATGTACACTCACCCTCGTAGAGGTATGTCTCATTGAAGTTGTCCGGTCGGGGAATGTCCATATCGTACAGGCAAGTGATCTGTCCCAATCCGCAGCGTTAGCGGACTTCATACTGCGGCGCATTTTGCCGTGAAAAGGCCACAGCCGGGTCGGCTGAAATCGGCGGCGAGGGAGAAGACTCACGTTGCGGTGACCGCGGAAGTGCTGCAGCAGCTTGATCTCGCGAAGCGCTCGCTTGGCGAGGATCTTCTTACTGAAGACATTTGTCACCTTCTTGATGGCAACACCCTCGTTGCTCTGACCGTTGACGGCGGCGCTGGCGGAAGATGGCGTCGTCAGCGAAAAACAGGTCCATGGCGGGGTAGGAGGGGTACGAGATCCAACGGCTGCAAACTCACCAGACAATACCGTAAGCGCCCTGGCCGAGCTCCTTTGTTACGGTGTAGTGCTCATCGACGATGAAGTCCTGGTTGAAGACCTTGAAGACCTTGCGACCTGCCAGATCCGTCATGACGCCGGTTGTTTGTCAAAGAGCTGTGGGAGCTGCTTGGTGGTGTTGCTTGATTGCCACGATGCGGGGCAACAGAAAGTGCGAATGTGTGAGGCTTGTAGGGAGGGAGGAGGCGGCGGTTCAATCTAGGATGCAGAAAAACCAAGGGGAATGAAGGGAGAGCCTGGCAGGTAGTCCCAGACGAGGGCGCACGCAGACAGACAAGAATTAATAAATATTACGAGGCCAACAAAGAACCAGCTGGATATGCGGAGAGGGATGATGCAGCTTTATTAGGGAGGACCAGGAGTGAGATGGCTTTGCGACCCCACAACCAAGGTACGTGCGTGCTACCGGCTCGTATACCTGGCCATTGGCTGTGCGGCCTCGCAGGCGCCAGGTACCTCATGGGTAGATTGGATGACTACGCCTTTGGCCCTCCGCTCCTGCCTAGCGTGTAACAGCTAGCCCCCGCCACTAACAACCCGTAGAGTCAATTCCACCCACTGTAAGCTCAGCCCAAGCCGGAAAGCCCGCTGTCATAGGTCAGCCCTCTGGCTGCAAATTCAATTACTCACGGGCATATCAATAACTGTTGTTGGTTGGGCTGCTCCGCATCCGCCAATGGGCTGCGCTCCGAGCCCTGCCCGTGGTCCTCTAACCGCCCTCCAAGATATCCTAAGCTGCAAGCTGCTCCGGCTAATGCTACACTCGCTGCGCATTCCCCTCTCGCTAGATGAGAGAGCCCTTGTTGCCACCTAATGAGTGTGGTACTTTGGGTGCCACGACCAGCCAACCAAAGGCCAGAGGGTGTCGTCGAGCCTATTTGCCTACCTGCGATCCACACGATGAATACATACCACCGACCTGTAACTAATCTTGCGCCTTTTCCAATGGGAGCTATCGTTCGAGGCTTCAAGGCTGGGCGAAATCCGAATGTGCAAGAAAATATGGAATTCGGCTGACCACCCTGTCTTACCAACCCGGCAACTCGCAGCGTTCTACCGCGCCCGGCCAGTGTGTCTGACACGACGATTCTTTCCACACCCAGATGAAGTGGAATTGAGCAGAAGCCCAGCAGGCGACCGAAACCAATGTCGACACGTCCGGTTGGCCCGTTCCCAACCTCACCCGCTGGGAACCCAAAGTTGGGGGCCAAACAGCGGCTCAGCGAATGGGCGATCAGCGCTCCGGCCTCGGCAAGTGATGGGCCGATAAAGAAACATGGGTACCCCAAGTTTAGGGCTGAGACGAGCCATGCACGGTCGTAGTGTCAGCCAACTCAATCGAAGCGGCGTGATGGGTGGTTCGCTCAGGGTTGCTTCGTAAACGAGATGAATGAATCTGAGGAATGAATAGATGCCCTGCCCTCTGGACATGGCGATTTGATTGCCAGTTCTGAACATACACTCGTCGGGGCGGGCCGTGCCGATCCAAACCAACAGAGTGACTGGAACTCCTCTACGACCAACGGCGCAGCAGACACCAGCCTTGGGGGATGTTCATTGCAAGATATCGGAATCGGGGCTTCCTTAAAGGGGCACATGATGACCCCCATGCTGTTCTATATCTCTAATTTTCTAGTGTGGTTTACTGCTGTATCCTTCCAGGCGTCTCTTATTCCTACTCCGTTGATTCGCCCGCAACTTCCTTGAGAAAATTTCTTGAGAACCGTGAGCACTGTTCAAACGCCTTCTCAAACCCGTCTCTGCCACCATAGTAAGGGTCACTGACGGTTTCAGCCCTACCCTCGACTCCGCTCCACTCTCCGAAAAGCATCACCTTGGCCTTGGTGTTTTGGTGGTTTCGCTGAAGTCTTGTCAGGTCCGACAGATTAGACCGATCCATAGCGAAGATGTAGTCAAATTTGGAAAAGTCTGATGTGGAAAACTGTCTCCCGGAGAATCAACTTGTTAGTGTCCCTAGAGTTTTGTCTATCGCCATTGCGAGAGAAGGAGACAAACCTTGCGGGCTGCATGGTCGTAGTCTGTGATGCCATTGTCTTCAAGGGTCGACAAGGTTCGTGAATCCGGTGATTCTCCTGCATGATAGGCACCTAAACGATCGTGAAGCCCATTTGACCCTAGTTAGCCAGGATACCTCAATCGTCTCTAAAAGGCGAACAGTCTACGAACCAGTTCCGCAGGAGTCGATCTTTCCAATCTTGCCACTGTACTCGGGCTGCTTGGCCAGGTTTCGGAAAATCCCTTCGGCCATAGTCGACCGGCAAATATTACCAAGGCATACGAACAGGACGGACACGGGTTCTGCCATTTTGATCGGCTTTGGAGAGGTTCGAGGCTGATAGGGGATGCTTACATGAGAATCCAAACCTCAATCCAGACTTCTTCCTACCCCGCGATGGAGGCACAGTGCAAGCCTGACAGAGATGTACTCTGCACTGTACCAATCGGCTCTCATTCTCGCATCGTAGCCTCCTACGCTTGCTCCATGCCTCGGAATTTTGCTAATTTATGACTTTCATTACACTGACGATCTCTAGACCGGATCAATTGTGCTTGGACTTTCCAGCCACCCTCCCCGGTTCCATTGCGCGAAATACAATCTTCGCATGTTACGCATCAAGGACATCAATGAGCAGATGCAATAGAATGAAAGTCTCACCGAGACTATTTGAATTGAAGCGCCGTGGTGAACTATACAGGAACTCGTGCGCGTTTTGATCTGTTACAAGAGAGGGGATGTCACACGTTCCGTGGCATGACCGCGCACGATTTTTTCTTCCTCTCGACATTGAAGGCAGCTCTGCCTTTCCCGGTCAATCCCCATTGAAAGACCGTCCCATTCCATTCCAATTTCCGTATTGCGCCAAGCTTAAAGTAAAAACAAGAGGTGGATAAATATATACATGCACGGGAGGTGTTAAATAACAAAGAAGAAACGCCGTTCCTAACGCCTCTCGGATATCATGGCACGTGATGGTGGTAGTTATACAAGTAAAGGCAAATCACTGTTTGCCCTTTGGTCGAAGTTGATCGTTAAGCTTTGCCAAGCTGGCGCTCTCTTCGGATGGCTTCGAGAATGTCAATGACACCGGTGTTGCGGATTCTCTCGAGCACATGACGCATGCCGTCTCGGCTCTTGCCGAGCTGATCCTTGGTCTTGGTGGAGGCTAGGCTCTCTATGCTTCGGCCAATGCCTCGCGCACCCAGCCCGGTCGCCAGGCCGTAGAGCCATCCCTCGCTCTGGGCCTGGCCGATCTTGCCGCGGATCTTCTCTCCAATGCGGGACCTGAAGACGAGGCTCGTGTTGACGTTTGTCTCCAGGGAAGCATTGTCGGTCGGGACGAGGAACTCTTGCTGCTCGGTAACGGACAAGACGCCGGAAAAGTTGAGGTTCCTGCTCTCTGAGCGCATCCATCCCTCCTTGATATCGACTACGCTTGTCTCCAGGACATAGGCAACCTTCTCTCCGCTGGTACCGCCTCCGGTGACGCTCGCCGGCAGAAGCTTGTACACCGCCGCGGGCATACGGCTCTTCTTCAGATGGAGACGGGTGGTATGGAGGCGGCTCGTCTTGGGGTCGACATAGTTGGAGATGGTGTCCGTGCTAAGAACGTGTGTGGCGAACGGATTGAGACGAGGCGAGCAGTACCGTAGGAAGAAGGCGAGCGTGACGGTGGGGAAAGGATGAGAGTACGTATGCGATGTTGAGTGGGTGAGAACCATTGTAGCGAATTGCCGATTCGTGGCACGAGCAAGAACAGAGGTATTGGTGTTTGGATACAGATAGCTGGAGAAGATCGGATCCGGCTCAGAACGACACTCGGAGATTTCGGCTCTGGAGATGGAAGACGGTAGAATGCGACCCGTTCGCCCCCCTGGCCAGACCTCGGATAGGGTAGAAGAAGAAGAGGAAGATGGAAACCGCAGTCAATTTGGGATCGCGTGCCCCAAGATTTGCACTGGGAGGAAGGAGAGGTAGATGGAGGTGACCAGAGGATCGAGAGGGGGCCCGGCAGTGATGGGATGGGGGAGAAAAAGACAATTTCCGTAGGGATCGAATGATAGTGAGACCTGCCACCAATTGCAGGCGCAGCTTTTTCTCCGTTGGTGACCCAAGCCGGACTTTGCAGGCTGTGATTGGCCAGCAAGTGCGGGGGTCCACTGGCCGTTGGTGAACCTGGGGTGGCAACCTCACGTGATGCTACCACCTACCCTACAGCCATCTGCAGGCAATTACATCACCCTCTCGCTATTTCGTGTCGGAGCTCCTAGCTGATCAGGCCAGATGCAAGGCATGTGCCACACCATATCCCCTCATTACCACATTACCCTGCCAGAGTCGACCGATGTCGAGACAAGGCATTCATGCACGGGAACCTCACCCTTGGCATTTGCTTACTCTGCTCCCGTTGATTTGTCCGGTGCCTCCCGTTCTCCTTCCTGCTGTGTGCGGACATCCAACGCATGAGCTGGACGAGTGGTTGCAACGACCAATGAGGTAGCTGGCACAAAAATGGCCCAACCCCCTCTTCATTAGGTAGGTTTACATGTGCAGGATGAATCTGTATGGAAATACGACATGAAGTTTCTCTAGTTACCGCTACGCACACCAATTATTGCTGTGGCACTTGAGGATCATGGAGTCATCACTACACCACCAAAGGCTCATCACGTGTACTCCAGGGAGAATTAAGCTCCCACACTGTCAGATGCCTAGTCTTTGCGTCATGCATCGATAGAGGAGTTTAACTTTCGATCCATATAGAAGCCGTCCTAGGGGCCTGCAGGCACAGTCGCTTGAAAGCAGCCATTCATGCTAGTTTGGCAAACTTCGCTTCTGCAATGCTTCCATTCGATGGGCCCACATGGCTAGAGAAACAACGACAAAAACCTTATGATGCAAATGTGAATCTTCTTGTATCCTAACTGGGCTGGCTCTTCAAACCAAAATCTTTGGCATCTTAGGAGAGGGTAATCAGCACGGTGTGGAATCGAAGCAAGAAGCAACACAAAAGGGAACAGGCAAAAAGAATAAAGCGAAGATCCCGGAGGGATGAATTATGCGACTGAGTAAATAATTGTTTGATTGCAGCTACTTCGCTGACCTTGTTCATTGTATTATCCCTTATATGCTTGCTGCCTGGTTACGGCGAGCTCAAGTTGGCTTAGTGCGGTGATGCTGGCAAGCAACCTGGTCGGACAAACCGCCTCCCCTTGTCTCGTTCTGACCGTCACGATGATATGGACTGTTTCAAAGCTAATATTTAGACTACTGATAGATGGGCGGTGTAATGTTTTTCACAATAAAGTTATTGGTTTTGCGTCGCTGCTTCGCAAAAAGGACGAATCATATATCCCCATGAACCATCTACTACTGTTTTGGATTCGCAAGCCGCTGACCTCGTGAGACAAGTGACTCTCCTTGCTTCCAGTAATCTGAATTATATCTTGAACCCGTTATCGGCAAATGGGGCCAATCAGCTGCTCTGTCTTTGCCTGATTATTCCTAACCACCATCAGCGTCAGTGAATAGCACTGGAAGGGCTGCTGGCCTGGTCTTTCAGCCTCTCTTCTCGTACCCCTTCTCGTATCCCGTAGAAGCTAATTGAGTTTGAGATACGTCAATACTAGTCATTTCCTGGCTGAACAAACCCATAGATACCTGAGGCGTTTATAGTTCAGGGTAAACTTAAGGAAAGAATGGCTAGGCTGTTCTATTTGTTTCTCCATCAACAAGCACGATGATCTCTAGCGTCCAGTGCTCCATCGCCGTCCACATTCTCAGCTTTCACAATCCTAACTAGATGATTAATTAAGACCTAATATTTGCAGTCTAAGGTCCAAAAGCCCTGACCTCATTCGATTGATTACTTAGCTAACAAATCACTTTACCGTGGTTCATTATGTCACTGCGGCTTGGACTCGTTTCATGATTCAACAGTGATGGCCTCAACATCATGATGCTTTTGGCTACCTCGTATGGCTATGATATTCAGTCTTGTGTGCTTAGGCCTCCGGGCAAATATGGGTTCTTTTCGCAGGGCTCGTCCCGCGTTCAAGAGTTCGAGAGAATAGATTTTGTTGTATCGATAATTATGCACAGCGCAACGATCTCAAGAGAGGCATGGATCATCTACAGTGTTAAATACTCTGAATGCAAGCCTCTATTGCCTTTGATAGCAGTCTATGGGCTAGGCCACATTATAATGATTACATCGCCATCAAGTTCGCCGAAAACCTGGCGTGCATCCTCCAGTCCACATCTGGGGCATCAACAAGAAGGCTCTCGTCACGATCACGAGGAGGTATGCCTAGAGCCACCAGGATGCCCGATTCATCGTCTAGCCCATCTTTGACTTCGCGTATGCTTCATAAAGCTCTGCTTCTAGGCAGCCCAAGAACAGATGTGTCAGCTGAAGCCACAGTGCTCGTGTGGTTTTCATAGTGTAAATTGCCTAAAAGCATTGGGATATTCTTCTAGGTGCCTGCCTACGATAGACCCCTCTACTTTCTTCTTCCTTCCTCTATTTCTTTATATCTAACTGTTCTTATCTTTCCTAGCCTATGATGAGCACTTAGCATCAAATAGTAATAAATGACTGCTTTCTAGCAAGGTTCTTAGACCTGATAATGATGTAATCTGCACTGAGGTTATATGGTGGCGGTCCTTTTAAGCATCTGCAAGTTATCATCTGTAGATACTAGTAAAAAGGCACATGAGTGGCTATAGGATACTCGACTGCTTTTTGGAATTATAATATGTGAAGAGGGTCAAACGTGTGTGAAAGAAAAATGAGCTTGTAGATTCTACAATAGAGAGCCGAATTGAGGTTATAGAGGGCATCTTGCCCGCCTAAAGGAGCAACCTGCCAAGGTTGGTGAGTAAGGTAGAAAACAGCGAAATCCTCTAGTAGCTAACCACACTTAGTAGTTGATAGAGCCACCTGGCTAAAGTCTTATATACATGATTCTACTTGGAGGAGTCGTATTCATTGTGTTGAGTTGTCGGGCTCTGGCAGCTTCCATTGCTGTTGAACTTTATTCTCTTTCTCTTACGTATACTTGGAGGAGATACTGGGCTTGCCCACTTCACGCGTTCTGTCGTGAGCCTGTGCCTTGAGTTGAATACTCTAGATAGCTAGTGAATACATACTTGTGATACCGTGCTTTAAAGGAGGTAAATGGCTGCGGCACTTAGAGACGAGACATCCACGGGGCGATGAGTCCAGACTACAAGTCATAAGAGCAGCCTAAGACGGACCAACTTAATAGTAAAATGAATGTAAATGAAGAATCGAACCAGCAACCTCGGGAAACAAAAAAAAGCGAAGGTTCCCTACCCGCAGGAGAGCACAGATAATCAATTTGAAATTAGAAAATCATCATCCAAAGTCCCATGAAGTGCATGTTTCTTAACCAACGGGCCACATCCACGAGAACAGAGCTACTTCGCTGACCATGGCCATAGTTATTTTGGCTTATACCTCCAAGCATCCATGAAACGGCAAGCTTATGGCCGTGAATAATTATATACCAGGGACATGCCTTGGGCTCCCCCCAGACCTACATCTCCAGGTCCATCACCAACACCGTCTCCTCCGGCTGGCGCCTAAACTCCCTCCCATTTACTCGTACTCGTCCTTTTGCCGCATCCGGAAACACAATCCTCCCCTTTGTCCCCTTGGGAGCGGTAACCTCCACCTCTACATCCCCATCCTCGCCGACCGTCACCTTGCCCTCAAACCACCCCAGCCCGGTCTCAAACCCGGCCTGGACGCTTTTGAGTTGCTCCCCCAGCTGCGGCCTCAACGACCATCTCCGGCCCCCAATCTCCTCCAGACGCAGCCCCAGCACGCCGGTCACCAGCGCCGTCGTCGGCCCCGAACTCCAGCCATGCGCCAGCGACGTGTACGCCGCATCGTATTTGTATGACCGCTCCGACCGGTAGTACAGGCTCCCGTTGGCCGCCAGCCCCTCCACGAACGTCGACCCCGTGAAGAGCCCGCTGCCCTCGTCGAGGAGGTACCCCCACAGCCGCCGCAGCAGCCTCTGCGCCCGCTCCGTGTTCTCCGCCCCGTGCAGGTGCGCCAGCAGCTCCAGCCCCGAGATGAACGGCGAGATGGTGTCCTCGAGCTCCGGCGTCACCGGCCCGATGCCGTTCCAGTTGCGCTCCAGGCCCTCGCTCACCGCCGCGCGCTGCGCCCCCGTCTCCGCCAGCCCGTACAGCAGGGCGAGCGAGTTGCCGTCCTGCGCGTGGAGGCCGCTCTCCGGGTTGTCGCGGTACATCCCGGTCGCCCCGTCCCAGAGCAGCGCGTTGTACTGCCTCTTGATCCTCGCCGCCGCCTGCCCCCACGACCTCGCCTGCTCCCCGGGCCCGGCCAGCGTCGCCAGAGACGCCAGGGCGTGGTAGTTGAGCGCGTTGAGCGCCGAGTTGAACCCGCCCGTGTACCTCCTCGCCCAGTCGTTCTCGTTCACCTGCTCCTGCAGCCCCGTCTCCGCGTCCAGCCTGGCCGTGACGTACTCGACCCCGCGCGCGATGCTGGCCCAGTGCTCCGCCACCCACGCCTCGTCCCCGGACCACACGGCGTAGTCGTACATGCTGATGAGCGCCCACGTGTGGTACGTGTCGCTCCTCGCGCCGCTGCGGAAGCTCCCCGTGGCCGGGCCCGCGAACGGCAGCATGCCCGTCGTGGCGTTCTGGTAGTGGAGGAGCGTCGCCAGGCTGTTGCGCACGCTCTCCCTCCCCGGCGCGCCGTACGCCATCATGGCGATCGGGCCCTGGATCCCCAGGTCGCCCGGCCAGATGGCCCTGTCCCGCTTGGCCCCGTCCACCAGCGCCGGCGAGGCCACGCTCAACGTCGCGTTGTAGGCCCAGCCGGGGCGCACCTGGGGCAGCCAGCGGCCCGTGTCGGCCGGCGCGATGTTGGTCTGGATGGTGTACGCCCCCGCGTACCATATCCGGTTGAGGATGTCGGCGTCGGCGTCGCCCGCGTAGAAGTACCCGGTGCCGGACCTCAGGTCGGCCATGTTAGGGGCGAACCCGATCTCGCACGTCACGTTAAACACGACCACATCCTCGAGCGCGTTGAGGGTGAGGAAGCGGAAGCCCCCGCGGAAGCGCTCGCTCGGGGTGTGGTACCACACCGCCCGCTCCGCGTGCCCGTCGTCGAGGGTGATGTTGTAGGCCGAGTCCCAGTCCATCCCCGGCGTCGCGCCCGTGTCGTCGCTTATCTCGCGCACAAAGTACGGCGACTCCGCGTACGCGAGGGACAGGGGCGACGAGGAGGCGGACTTGGCGTTGAACGAGACGTGCCCGCCAACCTCGACGCCAAAGTCGAGTGATATGCGAGAGCCGGCCTGCAGTCGGATCACCTGGCGGCCGGAACTGCAGTTCCTCACCGAGACGTTTCCCTCGATGGAGTGGACGCCCACCGGCGAGACGTTCCGGCTCGCGGGACTGTGAATATACTTGCTCCAGGGTTCATCGGAAGCAGTGACGAGAGAGGCGTTGGCAACGAGGAAGCTCAGGGCCAAGACAAGAACCCCCCGGGACACCCGTATAAACTCCATGATTTCCTCTAAAGTAAACTCTCCGATGTTTTATTCTTATTTCCGCTAGGATCGACAGGCTTGAGCCCGGCTCGTTTGCCCGTCTTTATACATCTCCATTTACCTCATGATGAGTTGGGGATCTCATGGGAGTTCCTCCTTTACCCCATATTTCCCCGGGATTTTTTTTTGTAAAATCGTCACTTTATCCATCTGTGGCTTTCTCTTGCGTATTAGTTCGAGTTGCTGGGGCTTCGGGTTGATTTCAACCGAGCGAAAAAATCAAGCATCTCGCTAGGATTGTAATTTATCCGATTCCAATGGCCATATAGCCTGTTTGTTTCCCTTGGCAATATACCTGCTCTTTACTAACCAGTGTCAGTCAAAGGGCGATTTCTCGGCCATGCCCAAGATGGGCAAGAAAACGAGTTGCCATTTCGAAAGTTCCTGACAGATGAAAATTATCGGGACTCACTTTAAGTCACAATGGTACAAACGGTATGTGATAGGTCAAATATTCCATTTTAGTAGTTTCCTCCAGCTAGCCAGTCTTTTCCAGCTGCATGTTTGAACCGTCCTAAAACCTATCTCGGATTTGGTAGAGAGCAAATCCTCACCTTTATTTTCCTTAACTCACTCATCAGTCATATCGAGGTTTTACAGCCACGACATCTGGAGACAAAATTGAAAAAGTAATTGATAAAATGAAACTCGTATGATCCCTTATAATCCAGCGTCGGGGAGGGACATATCCCTCACAGCAACATCGTGTATATATTTACATTGAAATTTCTCTCTCCTAGCTCGCAACTTCGGGAGACCCTGGCTCTCCAGTGCCAGACCTCTAGGCTGACGAGAAGTAGGCAAGGGCAGCGCAGAACGTGCTCTCATTGTCAGGCAGGTGAGTCATAAGACCCTTACCGCCGGAGGTGATGACGTTGGTGCTGGCCTTGGTGTTCACACCGTACATGTAGATCTTGGAGTTCTCGACCTCGATCATGTTCTGCTGGCAGTCCTCAGTGTCCAGACACTCCTGGGTGTAGTTCTCGAAGAAGCTGTACAAGCCACCACCATAGAAGAAGATGTCGCTGGAGTCGTGGACACGGAGACCCCAAGTCTTGGCGCATCGCTCACCAGTGCACTCGGCCCAGTCAGGGTCGAAGTACTTGGAGTTGGCAGTGAATGGGGTCTTGGCATCGGGGTTGCCCTGCATGTAGGCAGTCTCGGTCTGGATGACACTCATGTAGACGTTCTTGGCGCCCTGGAGGTGGTAGTTGTAGAGGACATTGTGCTCAGAGGCAGTTCCCCACAGCCAGACAGGCTTGGTAGACTCGATGAGAAGACCGCGGCCGTTGTAGATGTTGATCTGGTTGAAGTCGCTGCGGTCAAGCTCGTGGTCGGAAACCCAGAGCCAGTTGTTCTCCATGTAGACGCTACCAGTCTTGGTGATGTGCATGAGCATGAAGGCACCAATGCACTCAGGGTTGGCAGGGGTGGTCTGGGTGGGAGTCTTGCTGCACTTGTCGGACTGCAGGTTGGTACCAGCAGAACCACCGATACGGAAGTGGACGTCCCAGAGACCGGCGGAGCCCTTGCTGGCGGCCTCGAGGTTCCACTCCATGAGGATGGCACCAGGCTGAGGACCCTGGGTCTCAATCATGAGGTCGGAAATCTCGACATTGCCAACATCGCCTGGCTGGCCGACCTGGAGCATGGGCTTGGGGTTGGCCTGGTCGAGGAACTTGGAGTTGGCACCTCCAGCCATGATCAGAGGCCAGATCTCACCAACAATCTTGATGTTCTTGGGGACCTTGACGGTGTCGCTGATGATGTAAGCACCGTGGGGGAAGTAGACAACCTCGCCCTCAGCAGCGCCGTCGAAAGCAGCCTGGATAGCGGCGGTATCATCAGTAGCACCGTCACCCTTGGCACCCTTGGTCTTGACGGAGATGAACTTGGAGGCATCAACATCAGCGTACTGAGGCTTGCTGCGAGTGAAGACACGGCCGGCGTCGTCAAGGAGAACAGCGGGCTTGGTGGGAGCAGTCTGAGTGGCCTGGACGGCTTGACCGGAGCTACCAGTGTAGGAGCGTCCCTGGACGAAGGAGGAAACAACCTGGTTGCCGGGGAGGACGGTGGCGCCAGTTCCGCCATTGGAGACGGCGACAGGGACGTTACTGGTGAAGTCAACATTGTCGATGATGAGGGTTCCGTTGGTGCCGGTCTGGGCAGGGTTGTAGAGGGATTTGATGCCGACAGGAGTGTCGGAGAAGACACCATCCTGAACAATGACTGTGCCGACGGACTGAGCGTTGCCACCAGACGTCAAGTCAAGGCCAACACCGCAGTTCTTGATGGTGAGTCCGTGGTAGTTCCAGACCCAGTTCCAGATCTGGTAGATGGCGGTGTTGCAGTTGTAGAAGCTCAGGTTGCGGGCAGTGAACTGCTGGCTACCGAAGAAGGCACCGTACTTTCCACCGTGGAAGACGAGATCGGTGATGAAACCACCAGATCCGTTCTCCATGAAGATACCCTGCTGGGCGTTGTCCTCGCTGCTGTCCTCAATCATGAAGAACTCGATGTTCTGGAGAGAGGTGGCCTGGGCAACCTGCCAGTGAATACCAGTACCTGAGGTCTTGGGCTGGGAAGTGACATCGATCTTGAAGTTGCGAATCTGTCGGAAGAAGTTGTTCTGGTTGGTGAACCAGTTGTTACCGGTATCAGCATAAGGGTTCGCGTCGATGACAGCCATGCCCTGGAAGTTGGCACTGGACTTGAGGGTAGGGACATCAGAGAGGTCACCAATCAAGTGGGTGTAGTAGTAGGCAATGATGGGCTTGGAGACAATGTAGGTACCAGGGGGGAAGTAGACGAGAGCGGGAGTGGTGGTGCTAGAGTCGCAGCCCAGACCGCATCGGTTGTTGCCAGCAGTGATGGCAGCGTTGATGGCAACAGTGTCATCAGAGGAACCATCACCCTTGGCACCGTAGTCTTTGACGTTACGGAAGACGGGGTAGTCGCTACCGCTGGTGCCGAAGGGAACGGCGCCAGTGCGCTCAATGCTCGAGAACCACCATGATGAGGCGGCCTGAGTATTGACATTGGCAGTCTGGTCCGCAACGGGGAATGGTGCAGGTGTTGGGTTTGCGGCCGCCTCAAGAGCGAACAGGCGCAGGGCCAGAAGACCCGTAGTGAGGAGCGAAGAGAGCCCCATGATGAAATAAAACCAGCGGGTTGATGTCCTCCAGGGATACAAGCAGCGGTTTGAAAGTGGTTGAACTTGGTCGAAGTGCTCAAAAAGATGAAGCACACCCTGACGAACTGGTTAGCGTTTTGGAATTTGCTGAAAACTCAGTGCGACGTGACGGCAGTGACAAGGTTTGCAAAGGTGGAAGGGGAAAAGGAGGTAAACGAAGTGGAAGTGAAGAAGAAGTATAAACAACACCAGTTGAACTCAGGACTGTGCCAGAACTCAATAGCGCCAGGGGTTGTTGTGGAACACGACTGGTGTTCTGAGAAGATGGTGAGGTGTGAAATAAAACCAAGCCATGATGTGAACAAGCCCGATGTATTTATCACAATACAATCGTGCCAGGCAGGATGAATGCGCGTGTGCAGTGAATAGAGAAGTGACGTTGCATAACAGAGTGAGATGAAAGGGTTTCTTGGGCCATTGTGGGACTTGACAAAGGGTGTTTGATGACCCAACAGACCACAACAGCAAAAGAATACAATAGAGAATGAGATGGAAATGAGGCAGGATACTCGAAACCCCATCACGCGCAGCGATCGACACTTGTCGATGCCACCAGTCCTCTTCAACCTTCCCCACGGGGGGAGCTGAGAGACGCGGCCTGCAGATGCAGATGCACGTGAATGGGGTGGATGAGAAGCACAGCGGGCAAATAACAGTAGGGCCGAGGCCAAGCCCGACTCATGAACTTGGACGACTGTCTTCTCTATGCGTGGACGGACACGTATAGCAAGAAGCCAGGCTTCGTGGTGGGTGAAGCCAGCCAGGTGACAGGGAGCGAGTGACGATGAGCCCAAGATCACAAGACTATTGCTTGTCGAGTCGAGCCTGAGCCTCCACCCAACCCACAAGATACCGCCGCGAAGAAAAAGAAGCGCCGAAAAAAAGGCACACCTACCTACCAAGGAAGTTCTTTTCGGTTCTGAGCTGGGGTGAGTGGTGAAGAAAGGAGTGTTCTGGAAAGCAGCCGGTGCAAACGAGAGTAGACGATGGAAGAAGTAACAGTAATGAATGAAGGTTGTTTTCCGTGGGGAAGACTCGCGTGCAGAGAGGAGGAAAAGAAGAAGGGAAGAGGAGGAGTTGAGGAATGGATGGAGAGCACAACAGACAGGAGGAAGGAGTGAAGCGGCCGGACGGTACGCGTTTAAGTATAAGGCGATGGAGTGGCGAGACACACTGGACTGCACTGCACACACCCGCACGCAACTGTCAACGACCGGCGCCGCACTGGCCTGGGCTGGCCTGGGTGCACGTCACGCCCGGGAAACAAAGTAAAGATCCATGGGTACCTGATCGGAATCTGGGCCAGCGGCGCCCATGGAGGTCGAGGTGCCGCCGGGATTGGACCTCAGACGAGCTCCAGGAGCAGGACTGGCATCCGGCACTGGCGCCATGTAGCCGCCACGGGCCTGCGGTGGAGTCATCCAGGGCGACGATATGAGACAGAGGGTCGGCTCTAGGGGGCGCAGACGATGCCTATCCAATCCAGCATTGTCGTGTCTTCAGACAGACGGTGGACAATGCAGCGTTGAGTGGCTCTCCGTCCTCAGGAGCGCCCTCAGGAGCCCCAGGAGCCACGCCGACCCTGCACGCACTTAGTACGCTCCGTTCCTGGCTGCACTTGGCCAAATTACGGCAGCTAGTCGAGCGACGCATGAACTTGGGCCTGTCGATCGATGCGCTTGGTCCGCCTAAAAGTGGGCGGGAGGCACCAGGAACTGTGTAAGGCGATGCCAAAACGGACAGTGTTTTGAATGTAAGATTTGCG